TTGAATCCTGACAAGGCAGAAGTACTGTTCTTGGGGTACAGGAGACAGGCTGGTGTGGGGGACTCCCTGGTCCTGAATGGGGTAACTAAGCCCCTGAAGGACCAGGTGTGCAGCCTGGGAGTCATTTTGGACTCACAGCTGTCCATGGAGGCGCAGGTCAGTTCTGTGTCCAGGGCAGCTGCCAGCCAGCTGGTATGCAGGCTGAGACCCTCCCTGCCCACGGACTGTCTCGCCAGAGTGGTGCATGCTCTGGTTATCTCCCGCTTGGACTACTGCATTGTGCTCTACATGGGGCTACCTTTGAAGGTGACTCAGAAACTGCAATTAATCCAGAATGCGGCAGCTAGACTGGGGACAGGGAGCGGCCGCTGACACCACATAACACCGGTCCTGAAAGATCTTCATTGGCTCCCAGTACATTTCCGAGCACAATTCAAAGTGTTGACCTTTAAAGCCCTAAACGGCCTCAGTCCTGTATACCTGAAGGAGCGTTTCCACACCATCATCCAGCCCGGACACTGAGGTCCAGCACCAAGGGCCTTCTGGTGGTTCTCTCACTGCGAGAAGTGAAGTTGCAGGGAACCAGGCATAGGGCCTTCTCGGTAGTGGCGCCCACCCTGTGGAACGCCCTCCCAGCAGATGTCAAGGCAATAAACAACTATTTTACTTTTAAAAGACAACTGAAGGCGGCCCTGTTTAGGGAAGTTTTTAATGTCTGATGCTGTATTGTTTTTAATATTCAGTTGGAAGCCGCCCAGAGTGGCTGGGGAAACCCAGCCAGATGGGCGGGGTATAAATATTATTATTATTATTATTATTATTAGTCTGCTCTTTGAGAGCGAGAGAACTTTCTGCCCCGATGCTGCCTTCCCTCCTCCCTGGGTGAAACCTCCTTACAGCCAGCTCCTCCACCAATCTCAGTGGATTCCAGTGTGCCACCAACAGAGAATCACAGGAGGGGCTCTTTGGAATGAGACTGCCAGAACAGATTGTCCCAGGTGGTTCAAGATGGTGAGCCAACATATAGGGAGAGGAACAGTGAGCGGAAACAGGTCAGCCTTACCTGGGGAAAACTTCCTGATGTCAAATATAGTAATTAAATTCCAAATATAGTTGGAAACATGATGCTGGGCTTAGATGGAGCTTTGCCTGATGCAGCAAAGGGGTCCTTGTGTCATTGGATCCAAGGCAGGGTCTTCTTCTTGGTGGGCCCATTTGACCAGATGGGGCACTCATTGCCCATTTGAGGCAAGGCCTAGGAGTGCAGAAATCCCTGCAAAGCTAGGCCGTCAAGCAAAGCAGCCAAAAGCTTACAAGGAAGGGCAAGGGAAGCCAGAAAGCAAACCGTTACACTGAGCCAACGACTGGGACATGTTCAAGGTATTGATGCTAACACACAAATCTGTGCTCAGGTGACCCGAAATACCTCCTGCCGCTGCACAGACCTGCGAAGTTCATATGGGGAAATTCTCGTGGCACCACCACCTTATCCGGGTGGTGACCTGGAAACGGACGTTCTCTGTTTTTGCCCCTGCACTGTGGAGTGACCTCCTTCCCTCTGCCGTACATGAAGCAGCAACCCTCAGCAGTGCCTTCAAACAACCTTGCGAAGGGTTAACCTTCTGCCCAGGTCTCTGTTCTACAATTCTATAGCTCCTCCAGCCTTGTCTCATAGGATTTGGTCTCCAGGCCACCTTCTGTCACACATATTCCAGGTTTTTTTAATATCCTTTTTGACCTGTAGAACCCGGAACCAGGCACAGATGTTTTAATGTATTTTTAATCTCCTGTTGGAAGCTGCCCAGAGTGACTGGGGAAACCCTGCCAGATGGGCAGGGTATAAGTAATAAATTATTATTACTACTACTACTACTACTACAGAACTTCAAGTGAAGTCTTACTGAAGCAGGACAGGATTGCCATGTTCAAAACAGTGAAATTCCAGACAGATTTATTGGCAAAGGTTTTTTTGTTTGTTTGTTTTTTGTTTTGTGAATGTTGTTGAAATTTTTTTGGCAAAGCTGCAAAAAAATAAATGAATGAAGTTTTTGAGCTATTATTAAGGAATATCGCAAAAAACAACACTGCTAACCGTGATGTCTGTCCTGTGCCTTCACAGCAACGCTTCTGAATCCCAGTTGCTGGCAACCACAGGACGGGGAGGGGCTCCTGTGCTCAAATCCTGCATCTGGTTGGCCACTGGGAGATGCTGGACTATGTTGTAAACAAAATCAATCTGCCCCTTTTCCCTTATGGGGTATCCAAGAGCCCGTATAGAGTCCTTATGTTGGTTCCCTATTGGTAGGAGAAAATAACAGAGGCCAACCAGAGAATATTGAGAAGCAAAGCAGCTAGTAAGCCTGATCTTTATTGATCTGTTGTAACAGGGTCCTCGCTCATCACACGCAGGAGGGAGGAGGAACCCAGAACAAAAGTGTGCCTGCCCTTATTTAGACATTTTAAATTCCCTGCCCTGGAGTCCAAGACCACCCCCACAAACATCATACCTACATCACAGAAAAGGTGGTCTACAGCAGAAATCTGAGTGCGTTGTTTATCTCGTTTGACAAGTTACCTGTTAATGCTCACTTGATTGGATACCCTGGGGAGCCTGGCCAATCTTTTGTAATGATAACTACTTAGTTCCTGAGCCAGGTCACAGGCTCACCCTATTCAAACACATACCCTTAATTCAAAGACATACCCTTAAGAGAGGATTTGTGAAGGAAAAGACAATGGGGAGGCTTTTCCATTTTCCTTTGACCTTGCAGAGAAAACATTTGGTCAGTTTGAGAATCAAAAATGGTATCAGGTTGGTCTTCTTGTGCTGATCTATGTACGTGCTTGGTTGGTGCATTTATGAACATTTATTATATATCTAAGATGAGATGGTGGGACAGTGTTCTCGAAGCTACCAGCATGAGTTTGACCAAACTGCAGGAGGCAGTGGAAGACAGGAGTGCCTGGCGTGCTCTGGTCCATGGGGTCATGAAGAGTCGGACATGACTAAACAACAACAACAAGACTTTAAAATTCTTATCACAACTAGTTGGGCCCCCTTTTCCCTGACCCTGCAGGCTCTCTCCTCATATCCTTATGGAGGACTGGTGTACACATTCCTTAAAAGGTAAAGGGACCCCTGACCATTAGGTCCAGTTGTGGCCGACTCTGGGGTTGCAGCGCTCATCTCGCTTTATTGGCCGAGGGAGCCAGCGTACAGCTTCCGGGTCATGTGGCCAGCAGGACTAAGCTGCTTCTGGCGAACCAGAACAGCACACGGAAACACCGTTTACCTTCCCGTCAGAGCGGTGCCTATTGATCTACTTGCACTTTGAGGTGCTTTCGAACTGCTAGGTTGGCAGGAGCAGGGACCGAGCAATGGGAGCTCACCCCGTCGTGGGGATTCGAACCGCCAACCTTCTGATCAGCAAGTCCTAGGCTCTGTGGTTTAACCCACAGCGCCACCCGCGTCCCTTACACATTCCTTACACTGAAGTAATTATGAGTGTGTGCTTCTGTGACTACTGCCAGGTGTCTTTAGAGCATCAGGTGCTGCTGTGAAGAGACAGGGTGCTGCGTGGGCAGACTCCTCATCCCATTCCAGCGTTTCATCCAAACTGACAGCTCTGATGACCCCATCATTTGAGCGGTGATGAGATCAGTGTTGGCAGCCGAGGAGGCTGGTCGGCATAAGGTGCAGGTGGGCCATCGCATGTGTCCGTCACGCCGCCAAGAGCAGCCTATCCGCTGCCCCAAGGGAGCAGCTGGTGCCCTTCCCTGGATGTAAGGGCCGCCCACCCGCCTTGCAGCCACCAAGCACCACCTTGGCAACCCGGAGACGTCGCCTGAGGCTCCTGGGAGCTCCGCACAGACAACCGAGCCCGAGGCCACAAAGCATGTCTCTCATCCAAACAGCCACCCAATGGCGCTTGCCACGAGGAGGCCAGTCCCTTCAGCAGCCGGGCTGGCCCAGATTCCTCCAAGGGTTGCTTGGTCCTAAAATACCCCACCCCCGTGTAGAAAGCCACGGGGCGTGAAGCTGGCTTGCAGATACATCCCTATCCATCGGCTGCATCACTATGGCAATGCGCCCGCCTCCCCGGCCTCCGGGGAGGAGTCACGGGGCAGCTGGGACGCCCACATTGCCACCTCTCTCCAGGAGAAGCTGGCTAACCAGGGAAACCAATTGGTGCCCAGCCCTGGCGGTGGGGGTACGACGCCCCCCCTTTTTTTAGCTCCTTCCCCTCGCGGGGGAGAATGGAGACCCTCGCTGCGTACATAGAGGCATAGGAGACCCAGGCCTGGTGGAGGCTGCCCTTTCGCCCACGGCGGCGCGCGGTCCTTCCCACTTCAGCACCGGGCACGCGGACAGCTCCCCACGGTCGCTATTTCAGCACCAGAGCCGGCGGACAGCTCCCCATCCTCCTGCCAGGCTCCGCGCGGAGTGGTTGGTGGCGGAGAAGCGGGGAGGTTGCTAAATGGGGTGCCCTACCTCCCAAAAAGGGGGGGCGAGAGGAGAGGTTCCGTAGACTGGCTCATCCAAAGCCTTGGCGACAGCCTTCCTTCCTTTGTCTTGTGGGGAGGCGGGGATCGGAGGCTCAGGGCGCGAGTCCTTCTCTCCTCCCCCCCCCCGCCCCTCGTTCGCCGCCTTTGCTATAGCGGCGCTGCATCTGCATTGGGGGGGGGGGCGCTGTTGAGCCTCGCCCCTCCTCCCCCGGCGTCGTCGAGCCGGAGAGCGCCGGGCTGGTGGGTATTGGCTCGGGCCGCCTCCCTCCGCTCCTCTCCGCAGCCAGCGGCCCCCTCCTCCGCCCCCCCTGGCCGCTGTTTACTCGGGCCTTGCCGGACGGAGCGCGCGTGATGGCTGCAGTGGCGAGCGGCTCCGGGCACCAGCATCAGCAGCCTCCGCAGTGACAGCCCCCGCCCGCCCGCCCGCCTGCCCTCTCCAGCGCAGCCCGGCCCTCGCCGCCGCCCCGCCCGGCCCCCGACAGCCTCGCCCTGCCGTGCGCCCCGCCAGCCCCAGCCCCAGCCCGGCTCGGCTGCGCCGCGGAGAAGATGGCGGATCGGGCGGAGATGTTCTCGCTCTCCACCTTCCATTCGCTCTCCCCGCCGGGCTGCAGGTAAGCCGACGCGCTTGGCTTGGCGCAGCCCCGCCCGGCCGGGCTCCGAGGTGCCCCGGGGTGGGCGAGTGGGGGCGGGCGGGCGGGCGCGGAATCCCCCGCACGGCATCAAACCCCACCCCTGATTGATGAGGTTGGGGGCTGGAGGGTTTCCTTAACCTAGAGCTGGGAGCTCACCCTGCAATGAGTAGGGGTGTTGTCAGGTTGGCCTCCCCACATTTGCCCCCGAGGCCTTCTAGGACGTAGAGACAGGCTCTCGACCCCAGGAGGACAGAGTGGGCAGGGGGAAATATACCCCCCAAGGCCTGGCTGTTCTCTGCTCTCGCCCCCCGGAAGAGCATCTGTTGGGCTCTGCCTCGTCCCGAAGGCCTGGGCCGGCCCCATACCTCTTACCACCAGACTCTGGGCCTTCTTCGGGTCCCAGGCAAAGTCCCCCCCCCCCCCACGGCCTACCCTTACAAAGGGCTGGCCTCATCCCTTCCGTGCTGAGAACCCCCATTGGATCCATCCCTTGCTGTTTTCAGGGGCTGGGGGGGGTGTCCCTTGGGGAATTCCCAGTTCAGAGACTGCTGCAACGCTGGAAGCCGCCACCCCCCTCTGCCCCGCCCCAACGTGCCCTTGGGATCAACACCGTGCAGAGCTTTGCAAGCTCCCCCACATATTTTCTGCCTCCCCCTCCTCCCATCCATCCAATCCTTTAATGTGTTTGTTGCCAAACCCAGCAGATTTCGCTTGATTAATCTCCTTGCCCCGCTGCTTTGCAAGCAAAGTGGATCCCTTGGCAAAGCCCCAGCCATCCCTCGAACCTCCCCCCCTCCCACTTCTCTCACGCTCCAGGCTTTTATCTCCTTCTTCCCTTCCTGTCCCCACTGGGGGCCTTGGATCCCATTTGCAGAGATGGGCCTCTTTTAGATGGATCTGGGAGGCCGTGGGAACAGGTGCTTCCTGGCTTGGCCTCCTGCCCTCCCAAAGTACTGGTGCAGAAGAGGAAGGACCCAGGCCAGGCCAAACAGTAGCTTGCCCACTGCCCAGGGCTCTATTAAGGCAAGAACCACACCTGGTTCCATGGGCAGGTGGCGGCAGGTGGCTGATGTGAGGCCCCACATCTGGGGAGTTGCATCAGGGAACGAGGTCCCTAACTGCACGCAGGGCATCAACGTGGCCTAAAAAGCATTGGTGATGTTCAGGGTACCTGGGAGGCGCCAGGTAGTCTCTCCCCACCCCCACCTCTTGAGTCCAGGAAGCCAGATCCACCTTGATGCAGCGATGCCACAGGGGATCCTGCTGCCTCCCTCAGGGGCGGGGAGATCCAGCACGTTCCTCTTGTAACCCCTGGTAACTGCTGCAGAGCTGGTAGTGATGTGTTGCATTTGCTGCTGCTGCTGCTTTTAGAGCCTACCTCTCCATCATCAGTGCTTGGAAAGGCGTCACCCTGGAGATGGGGAAGCAAATCTTGGGCTTCCTGAATAAGGGAGAGGAAGTTAGGAGTTGGTGCCTGTTCTGTGGGGCTCTCTAGAGCTGGAGAGATGGAGCTTCCGGGTGTGAGGGTCCTGGGGGAAAAACAAGGGATGCTTTTCCTTGCATCAACCTCCAAGGTTGTGTCGGGTGAGGACTGTGCTGGACTCCAGCAACCATCGCAGGTCAGGTCAAGGGGAAGAGATGAGGTCCAGGGGTCCCTGGCGGTTGTCACATGGGCCCACAGGGAGCATTTGGGGATGGTGAGGTGGCCAAAAGGTGTGGACTACGTTGAGGAGAGAGATGACTAGCTGCCTATGGCTCTCATCTGCTGTTTCTCTGAAGGAGGAGGTGGGAAGAGGGTCTCTCATCATGTCTGCCATTCTCATACTCAAATGTGAAAGCACAGGAGACCATATCCCTCTCTAGGTAAAGCAGGCTGTGGGATGACCTTCCTTTTAACAGCAGTTACATTTCAAGACTTTTTCACTTATTTTGAGAGAGGATGCACCTACCAAAGGAATGGATGTTTGTGGATGTGCTGGGGAGACTATGGAACTCCCTGCCTCTTGAGCCACCAACTTGGGTGGCTTTGAAAAAGGATCAAACAAATTTGTGGAGGATAAAGCTATTTATTGTTGGCTCCCAGCCACAATAGCTCTGCTCTGCCTTCATGGTCAAAGGCAGCGATGCTTCTGAATCCCAGTTGATGGAAACCACAGGAAGGGGAGAGTGTTCTGGTGTTCGAATCCTGCTTGTTGGTTTCCCACAGGCATTTGGTTGGCCAATGTGAGGGCAGGATGCTGGACTCGGTTGGCCTCCTTTGGCCTGATCCGGCAGGTTCTTATTTAATTTCTCCAACACCTCCAGGAGCTCACATAGCAGAATAGATCATTTGAGGGCTAAAAGAGCTGCAGCCTTTCTCAACCTGGTGCCCTCCAGATGTTTTGGGCTCCAGATGTTTTGGCCTTCAACTCCCATCAACCCCAGTCCCCATGGCCAGCTTATATAAAGTTCAGCTCTGGCAGTGAAGTCCACCAAAAGCCTAGCTAGATAACCAACGGGCATCTTAAAGTGCAAGGTGGAGGTAGAGTGGAGGACGTTCCAAGGGTTAAGCCTGGCGACTGAGGAAGTTCTCCTTTATGCTGCCACATGGTAGGCCTTGGCTATTGACATGCAGAACAACTAAGAGAGTCTCCCTTGCAGATCCTGACAAATGGACAGATAATAGTAATAAATAATAATAAATTTTATTTATACCCCACCCTCCCCGGCCAGAGCCGGGCTCAGGGTGGCTAACATCAATAAAATTTCAGTAAAAACATAATAAGGAAAAAGAGAAAAACAGTTTAAAATACTGGTTAAAATGCAATTTTAAATGCAGCCTCATTATAAAAGTCAAAACCATAAGGGGAGGGAAACGTAAGGGCCAGACTGAGTCCAAACCAAAGGCCAGGCGGAACAGCTCCTTCTTGCAGGCCCTGTGGAAAGATGTCAAGTCCCGCAGGGCCCTGGTCTCTTGGGACAGAGCGTTCCACCAAGTCGGGGCCAGTACTGAAAAGGCCCTGGCCCTTGTTGAGACCAATGAAACCATCTTGCGACTTGGACCTCCAAAGTGTTGTTATTTGTGGACCTTAAGATCCTTTGCGGGGCATACCAGGAGAGGTAGTCCCGTAGGTACGAGAGTCCTAGGCCGCATTGAGCTTTAAAGGTCAAAACCAGCACCTTGAACCTGACCCTGTCTTCCCCTGGGAGCCAGTGCAGCTGGTAAAGCACTGGATGAATGTGATCTCGCCCAGATCTGCCCAGGAGAAGCCATTCTGTCAGGTAACCAGGCTTCAGGCAGTGTCGGGCTTTGTAAGCCAGTATTGTTACACACCACCCAAATCTCCTGGTGGTGAGAGATTCCAGAAGTTCCAGAAGCAGTTACCCAGGTTCTCTTTCCTTGGAAAGAAGGTCAACAGAGATTGTGTGGTTTTATCTACACATTTATACAGCCTGAGACTAAGGAAGAGGGGTTCTCAGCATTAACACCCAACAGATCTTGCTTCTCCATTAGTCATGGCTTTGGACCCAGTGTAGAGCAAGCAAGTCTCTGTGTCTCCAGCTTCCAGCCTCTCCACAGCTCTGCTCAGACTCACTACTCTAGCTATTGCTGGGTGAGGGCAGGGTGTGGGGAAAAGGCCCACCCATTAGTTTGCAGGGCCCCATCGCTTAGTTGTAGCTCTTGCAGCATGGCTCATTCTTTTGGGATGGGGTCAGTTCATGCCATCAGTGGCCAGTTCATGCCATCGTCTTGCAAAGAAACTTGTCTGACTAGGTTTTGGCAACATCTTTGGCTCCCAGTATGTTTCTGAGCACAATTCAAAGTGATGGTGCTGACCTTTAAAGCCCTAAATGGCCTTGGCCCAGTAGACCTGAAGGAGCGTCTCCATCCCCATCGTTCTACCCGGACACTGAGGTCCAGCTCCGAGGGCCTTCTGGCGGTTCCCTCGCTGCGAGAAGCCAAGTTACAGGGAACAAGGCAGTGGGCCTTCTCGGTAGTGGCACCCGCCCTGTGGAACGCCCTCCCACCAGATGTCAAAGAGAACAACAAGTACCAGATCTGAAGGCAACCCTGTTTAGGGACGCTTTTAATGTTTGATGTATTACGGTATTTTAATATTTTGTTGGAAGCTGTCCAGAGTGGCTGGGGAAGCCCAGCCATATGGGCGGGGTATAAATAAATTATTATTATTATTATTATTATTATTATTATATTATCTGCAAAGGTGGAGGAGTAATGGAAAAGACAGGCTTGGGTATGTGGGGCCAAATCTCCATGTGCTGCCCCACCTGTGGCACATGGCTGGCTCTGCTGCATGACGGACCCAACCACAAGTAAACGCAGATGTGCCCTGGCGCATGAGCCAAGAGAGCATAACGGCATCACTGGGTCTGTATGGGTGGGCGCAGCACATAGCAGCAATGTTCTGGTGGGCCAGGGGCACCGGCAGCCAGAGCAGGACCCCCCACATACACACATCCCATGGGAAAAGAAAGTCATTTTTCATGCAGCACATAGTTACGGTAAACTATGGGGGCCCAACCTAGATGGTCTCAGAAGAGGATTGGGCAAACTCATGGAGGAGAAGAGGGCTGCCCATGTGCGGTGTGCAAATTTTATGAAATAAATAAATGGAAAGGGCAATAAGACCTTCCAACTACAGGGTAGTTGATGGTGAATGTTTATCTGAAATACAATCCTTCCTTTGGATTCTCTTCATATCAAATCAGTTCTCCCCCTTTAATATTTCTGAAGCTTAATTACAAAATGGGAACCCTGTCAAAAGCTTCCCTGCCCCCCCTTCATCATGCAGCAAGCTAGGTAAGCCCCTCTGACTCCTGTTGACCAGCCCCTGCCGGTCACTTCTGACACCATGTTGTGGAGGGGACGGCTCTTGAGTCCTTGTCACCACCAGTCAGGGTCACGCCACATGACCATGCGTGGGATCTTGAGAATGCACTGGGCGCATGGGAACGTGGGGAGGTTGCCTTCTACCAGACTGGATCCTTGGTTCCTTCAGCTCAGTACAATGGTCCCTTGGTTCTCAAACTTATTCCGTTCCGGAAGTCCATTCCAAAACCAACACGTTCCAAAACCAAGGCGCGTTTTCCCATAGAAAGTAATGCAAAACGGATCAATCTGTTCCAGACTTTTAAAAACAACCCCTAAAACAGCAGTTTAACATGGATTTTACCATGGGTAGGCAAACTAAGGCCCGGGGGCCAGATCCGGCCCAATCAGCTTCTAAATCCAGCCCATGGAGTGTCTGGGAATCAGCGTGTTTTTACATGAGTAGAATGTGTCCTTTTATTTAAAATGCATCTCTGGGTTATTTGTGGGGCATAGGAATTCGTTCATTTCCCCCCCAAAAAAATATAGTCCAGCCCCCCACAAGGTTGAGGGACAGTGGACCGGCCCCCTGCTGAAAAAGGTTGCTGACCCCTGGATTTTACTATCTAACGAGAAGACCATTCATCCATAAAATGAAAGCAATAAACAATGTACTGCAGTCACACGATCTATCAGTAGCTGAACTGGGTTCCACACAGTCACAAAAACAAAACGAAAAGAGCTGCAAAAACACAAAATAAATACCAAAAACAGACAGACCTCAGCGTAATATTCAAAACAGAAGCGTAACACTCAAATTGTCAGCGTAACACTCAAAACGGAAGTGTGGCACTCAAATCAGAAGCGTAACACTCAAAACGGAGCACGTTCGACTTCTGAAAAAAGTTCGCAAACCGGAACACTTACTTCCAGGTTTGCAGTGTTTGGGTTCCAAGTTGTTTGAGAACCAAGGCGGTTGAGAACAAAGGTACCAGTGTACTATCAGTACTGACCGTGGGGTCCTCAGACTGGTGGCGGGGGTCTCTCCAGAGATCTCTTTGGACTGTTGTCCCCAGGCTATGCATCTCACTGGCCAACTTTTGACCCTCCTTGCATGATTTGGGACAGCTGCGATGTGTCCTCGACCTCCGATCATGCTTCTTGCTTGTCCGGATAGGGGTTAGAGCTGTTTAGGGTGTGTGTGTGTGTGTGTGTGTGTGTGTGTGTGTGTAGATTTACCAGTCTACTATACAAAGATTTTTTAAAAAAATATCACATTTGTTGCTTTGCCACTTTTGCTTCTGGCTCCCAGCATGTGGCCCGTGCAAGGCTACCCAGAATGAACTGCGGCCCTCAGTCTCAAAAAGGTTCATTAACCCCAGTCTCTGTGGACTGGAAGATGCTCTGCAAAGCCTCTGGCGAGAGTCTTTCCCAGGCCTACATGGAGATGACAGGGATGGGGGAGGCCTGTCTCTTGGTCCTGCCACCCTCATAGGTCTGCTTGGTGGGGGTGTGCAAAAGGGGCTTTCTCGGTGGCTGCTCCCAGGCAACTTTGGAACTCCCTGCCTAGAGAAGCCAGCAGGTTAAGACCTTTCTTGTTCCAATGGGTTTTTTGGGAACTGGCTGCTTTTAATGAAAGAGCTGTTTCCGTGCTGTTTCCGTAGTATTATCTGTATCCTTAACAGATTGTGTGTGTCTTAAATTGCTTTTTAATTATTGTCTTTTCCATGGTTTTAGCTCTTTCTGTTTTGTCTGTAAACAGCCTTGAGTCCGTATCTGGGGAAAAGGTGGGATAAAAATAATAAAAATCAAATAGTAGTAGTAATAATAATAATAATAATAATAATAATAACGATAATGCTTTCCACTGTCAAACACCACAACACCCATTAGTCACAATCCGCATGGTGGGTTGATGGGAGCTGTACTTTCAAACAGGCTGATCCAACCTCAGCATCTGGGGCCTTCCTGGAATAATTGAACTCCTTGCTTGTACTTCATGGGAGTTGTAGTCCAATAACACCTGGCATCTACCACATGGACTGCCTCTGATCTAATGGTACATGCACACTGCACATGGCGACTGGCCTCTGCCACCCAGAGTTTCCGACAAAGGACCCTGAGAACGCAGCTCTGCAAAGCATTCAGAGGCTTCAAGCGATTCATTCCTGGCAATAATTCCTGGCTCTTTTCACGCAAGGAGCTGTTATGAGTCTTGGTAGGAGGTTAACTCACACATGGCTGAACGGACCCAGGACTGATTCATGTAGTGGAAGGCCTTGGGAGGAAATTAGAAGAAAGCAGGGAGTTGTGTTTTGGAGCTGGTGGTCCCCGGTGGCTTTTTGTATCATTAAACGCCACCCTGATCTCCAAGTGCTGAGAGACTCCTGGGGTTCCAGGCGCATACTCAGGTTGCGCTTCTTTGGAATGAAGGTCAGCAGAGACTGTGGTGTCCTTAGGATAGATGGTTTTATCTACCCACACACCCACACAACCTGGGCATAGGACTGGGGTCTCAGTGCATTAACCTCCCAACAGATATTGCTTCTCCATCAGTCGCAACTTTGGAACCAGCACAAAGCAAGCAGGTCACTTGTGGATCCAACTTCTAGCTTGCATCCGCTCTCTCACACACACCTCTTTGGCTATTGTTTTCCAACCTAGCAGCTAGGTGAAGGGGGTGGAGGAAATACCCACCTATTAGCCCGGGAGGCCCCCTCAGTTAGTTGTAGCTTTCCCAACCGAGCCCATTCTTTTGGGATGCTGATGAGGACACTTAAATGGCCAGCTAAGGTCACTGTTTTACCAAGGGATGCGGGTGGCGCTGTGGTCTAAACCACTGAGCCTCTTGGGCTTGCTGATCGGAAGGTCGGCAGTTCGAATCCCCGTGATGGGGTGAGCTCCCATTGCTCTATCCCAGCTCCTGCCAACCTAGCAGTTTGAAAGCACGCCAGTGCAAGTAGATAAATAGGTACCACTGCGGCGGGAAGGTAAAACAGAGTTTGGATTTGATATCCCGCTTTATCACTACCCGAAGGAGTCTCAAAGCAGCCAACAATCTCCTTTCCCTTCCTCCCCCACAACAAACACTCTGTGAGGTGAGTGGGGCTGAGAGACTTCAGAGATGTTTAACTAGCCCAAGCAGCTGCATGTGGAGGAGCGGGGAAGCGAACCCGGTTCACCAGATTATGAGTCTACCACTCTTAACCACTACACCACACTGGCTGCAACCCCATAGTCACCTTTGACTGGACTTAACCGTCCAGGGGTCCTTTACCTTTTTTTACTCTTTTACCAAGAAACCTGCGGGTTGGTTCAGCAACAGAATACTCTATTAGATCCTAACCACCACCACCCCTCACCTCATCTTGTCCAACCCCCAGCAATGTAGGAATCACAGCTAAAGAACTCGTAACAGATGCCCCCCCCAACCTCTGTTTTCAAATCTCCAGCGGTGAGGAGTTTGCTGCCTTTCAAGAGAGTCCGTTCTGCTCTTACTTTCAGAAAGTTCTTCCTAATGTTGAGCCGGATTCTCCTTTCCTATAGATCATGTGCTTTGCCTCTGCACTGAATGTGCTTTCAGCATATGGCGGGGGGTCTGCCCCCTAGGAACTGTTTTGCTCGTGCCGGGAATATTGTGCTGCAGGAGTTGAATCCAAGAACATCCTTGCATTAGTTGCTAGCAACACTTAATGGTGGAGAGCAGACAGCAGAGAGAAATTGCTCCCCAGGGACCGGCCTGTACCTGCTTGTTTTCACCTTCGCCTCGACTTCTTCCTTCATCTGTTGGCAGAGCTTAGTTTTTCTTTTCCTTTTTTACCAGATGGTGCACATGCCTGTCTTTGTTCCACTCTTTTCCTGGTTCATTTCTGATCTCTCTCTTTTTTAAAAAAAATAATTTTAATAGATTTTTCCTCATATTTTTAAAAATAACTTCAGACTTATATATAAAATAGCAAACATTTGGCTACCTACGGCTTCCATCCTCCTCGGCTGATGGTTTTCCAACTTACTCTCTGATAACTGCATTTTATTATTATAGTTATAACTATTAAATCCTTTTCATAAATAAAAATTATAAATTATACTTTGCAATAATTAATAAAATCATCCTTACAAAACTTCTTGTAACCCTACTAGCAATCTCAGTTGTTTACAGTCGTCTTTCAAATATACCATAAATTTATTCCAGTCTTTCAGGAAAGTTTGGTCTTCCTGGTTCTGAATTTTCCCAGTTAATTTACCCAACTCGGCGTAGTCCATCAATTTTGTCTGCCACTCTTCTTTCGTAGGCATCTCTTTCTGCTTCCATTGTTGGGCTAATAATAATCTTGCTGCAGTTGTTGCATATAAAAACAGTCTTTTGTCTTGCTTATGTATTTCATTACCTACAATACCAAGTAGGAAAGCTTCTGGGGTTTTTTTTTGGTTTTTTTTACAAATGTCTATTTCACTCTTTTTTCCCTTTTCTTTTTTTTTTGCACATCTGACCGTCTCAAAGTTATGCCTGCCTACCTGGGTGTGCACATACTTAGCATTAGGCAGATTTTAAAATAACAAAAACCTAGCTGGACCAAAACAGTTTACCCTCAAGATCGCCTTCCCCACATGAGCCCACACAACTGCTTCAATGCGTGGCATTCTTACTGGCGACACATAGTGCCCATTACGTATTTGTAAGAATTTGATCATTCCGCATGGCAGCACCTGCGCTTTGGAACTCCCTGCCTGTTGAAATCAGGCAGCCCCCTTCACCCTTCTCTCTTTGGCAATGCTAAAAACCTTCTTTAGACAAACTTACCCAACAACCCAGATGCTTAGGAAGTTGTTGATTTTAATCCGTTTTTGTATTTTAGCTTTTGTCTGTTTTAAGGTACAGTTGAGGGGCATGGGTGGTGCTGTGGGTTAAACCACAGAGCCTAGGACTTGCCGATCAGAAGGTTGGCGGTTTGAATCCCCGCGACGGGGTGAGCTCCCGTTGCTCGGTCCCTGCTCCTGCCAACCTAGCAGTTCGAAAGCACATCAAAGTGCAAGTAGATCAATAGGTACGGCTCCAGCGGGAAGATAAACGGCGTTTCCGTGTGCTGCTCTGGTTCGCCAGAAGTGGCTTAGTCCTGCTGGCCACATGATCCGGAAGCTGTACGCCGGCTCCCTCGGCCAATAAAGCGAGATGAGCGCCGCAACCCCATAGTCGGCCATGACTGGACCTAATGGTCAGGGGTCCCTTTACCTTTACCATGAGCTATACATGTCCATAGGGACGCGGGTGGCATTGTGGGTTAAACCACAGAGCCTAGGGCTTGCTGATCAGAAGGTTGGCGGTTCGAATCCCCGCAACGGGGTGAGCTCCCGTTGCTTGGTCCCAGCTCCTGCCAACCTAGCAGTTTGAAAGCATGTCAAAGTGCAAGTAGATAAATAGGTACCGCTCTGGCGGGAAGGTAAATGGTGTTTCTGTGCACTGCTCTGGTTCATACTGCTGGCCACATGACCCGGAAGCTGTACGCCGGCTCCCTCAGCCAATAAAGCAAGATGAGCGCCGCAAACCTAGAGTCGTCCACGACTGGACCTGACGGTCAGGGGTCCCTTTACCTTTTTAAGGCACAGTTGTAATATATATTTTTATTTTCTTGTTTGCATCTTTTTGTAAACAGCTTTGAGACTTGTTTGTTTTTAAGGTAAAACTGGGTATAAATTTTATGAAACAAACAAACAAACAAACAAACAAACAAACAAACAAACAAACAAACCCTAAAGGGCATCTACCTAGAACCCTAGATCTTTTTCACATGTACCGTTATCAAGGCAGGTGTTTCCCCATCCTATATCTGTGCATCTGGTTTCCCTAGCCTAAGGGCAGGACCTTACACTTGCCCCTACTGAAATTCATTTTGTTAGCTTGTGTCCAGTTCTCCAGTCTGTGAAGGTCGTGTTGCAGAATCCTGTTCAAATCTCTCACACAGATCTTAGGCATCCTTCTATCCATTTTCTCAGTAGACCCACAGGAGAGCTCAGAGTCAATTCCCTGGGGGTCAATTTCTTTTCTTATCCACAAGGCTAACCTTATCAGAAGACCTGAGACTTGCTTGGCTGCCAGAGAAAATGAGCCTCTTTTCCACTGCCGAGTCATTTAAGCAACTTTGGCACTGCTCCCGCTCCGCCTCCCTCCTTTGCCAAGCGGGCAAGACATCTGACGGAGGGTCAGAATTTGCTGGGTGGTCACAAATGTGCAGCTCAAGGGACTGTGGTGGTGACTTGACAAGCTGAGAAGGATTTGCTTTGTCTTCCCGTTACATCAGCCAGCCTGTCCTCGCCCCTAGGCAGCAGAACCACCTTGCCCAGCTGGTGCCAAGGACTGTCCTGGCATCAGTGGACTGGTGGCATTTTGGATTACATTAATGGGAGCCTCTCATCTGGGATGCGGGACTCTTATCTGGGACGCGGGTGGTGCTGTGGGTTAAACCACAGAGCCTATGGCTTGCCAATCAGAAGGTCGGCAGTTCAAATCCCCACAACGGGGTGAGCTCCCATTGCTCGGTCCCTGCTCCTGCCAGCCTAGCAGTTCAAAAGCAAGTCAAAGTGCAAGTAGATAAATAGGTACCACTCCGGCGGGAAGGTAAACGGCGTTTCCGTGTGCTGCTCTGGTTTGCCAGAAGTGGCTTACTCATGCTGGCCACATGACCCGGAAGCTGTACGCCGGCTCCCTCGGCCAGTAAAGCGAGATGAGCACCGCAACCCCAGAGTCGTCCGCGACTGGACCTAATGGTCAGGGGTCCCTTCACCCTTTACCTTTTAATGGGAGCCTCTTATCTGGGACTTGGGGGGGGGCAATAATAATGATGTGGGTTTGGGGGGGGTCAGTCTGCATGACACCCTTGGCTCCCTTCCAATTCTTGGGGTCCTGTGCCCAGTGAGAGTTAGAACCCAATAGAGGACTCCATTGCTGAACTAGCCAGAAAAGTTTCTTTGTAAGAGAGTGACCTTATCTGGCCACAAGTGTCCTCACCAACATCCCAAAAGAAGGAATCAGGTTGCAAGAGCTATAACCAAGGCTAACGGGTGTGCCTTTACTGCCCCCCTCACCTAATTACTAGTTGGGAGAACAATCGCCAAAGGGTTTTACGTGAGCTGAGCTAGAAAGTGGCGAGAAGATGGAGACACAGAGATCAAACTGCTCTTTGGTGGATCAAAAGCTGTGTGTAATAGAGAAGCAAGATCTGTTGGAGTGTTAAGCAACCAGTCATTTTATTTGTATGCCACCTCTCCAAACATAAAACCATCCTCAAGGTGGCTTACAAAATATGAACAATTACATAATTACAAACGTAGCAAAAGTAGTCATATACAATAAATAAAATATCAAAAAGCACACAACCAAACAGAGCGATTTCCACATAAACCATAAGATCTAAACTAAAGATACCGAAAATTAATACAGTCGTACCTTGGAAGTCAAACTGAATCCATTCCAGAAGTCCGTTCGACTTCCAAAATGTTTGAAAACCAAAGCGTGGTTTCTGATTGGCTGCAGGAAGCTCCTGCAGCCAATTGGAAGCTGTGGAAGCCCCATCAGATGTTTGGCTTCCAAAAATAGTTCCCAGACTGGAACAGTCGCTCCCAGGTTTGTGGTGTTCAGGAGCCAAAACGTTCAAGAACTAAGCTGTTCAAAAACCAAGGTACGACTGTATCAGTAGCAACAACAAACCTACCCAACGAAAACCCCTAAACAATCCCCTAGCTCATGCATAGGCAAACTCGGCCCTCCAGATGTTTTGGGACCTCAACTCCCATCATCCCTAGCTAACAGGACCAGTGGTCAGGGATGATGGGAATTGTAGTCCCAAAAAATCTGGAGGGCCAAGTTTGGGGATGCCTGCCCTAGCCCAAGAGTCTGTTCAGCAGCCTCAGCTTTTGTAGCTGGAGTCCGTCTGGGCCCCTCCCTCCCAGGCCATGTGGGAAAAAGCCTGCAAGGCAGGGAGCAGGTCTTAATGCACTGAGCTTATGTACCTCATGTTCCGGTTCTATATATTTGCAAATAAAACCAGATCTCCTGAAGACGCCACTGTCTCCGATGAGCTTCATTCTAAGGAAGCCAAACCTGGGTAAGCGCCCAGAACCCCAGAAGTCTCTCGGAGATTGGGGTGGCATGTAACAAAACTAACAACACAGCTGTGCCTGGAGTCCTGTCTCTGGCCTGTCTTGTCAGTTTGTCCCTTTCAGACTCTAGTGGGCAGTTCCTTCTCATTTTATCCTCTTCCCCGACTGAAGAAAACGACTTCAGAAGGCTGGAAACTTCCAAGGGGCCCAGTCCTCCTTGTCAGGCTACACCAGTGGCAACCAAAATTTTTTGGGGGGAGGCTCCCCCTCAGTTCCATAAACCCAGGGGGTTTTTTTCCAGCCGGAACTCCCCAGAACTCAATTCTGGCACCTCTCAGGTGGGCGCCATTGCCATTCTAAGAGAACGAGTTAGGCCAGGGGTTGGCAAGGCTTACTGGGCATGGGCCTGCGGAGATCCTCCGTGGGCTGTACCGGCGCAGCGCAATGCCAGAAAACACATTTGCGCATGTCCGTGGCGCCGGAAACCACTTCTGTGCATGCCCAGACGCCGAAATCGCGCCTGCACAGAAGTGATTTCCGGCATCTGGGCATGTGCAGAAGCGATTTCTGGAGCCGCTGAAGAGAGTCTCCGCACTTCGCTGCGCCGGTTTAGCGCAGCACACGGGGACTCGCCAAGTGGGCGACTCATGGGTTGGTTAAATGGCCTCCATGGGCCACTTTTGGCCCATGGGCCTTAGGTTACCGACCCCTGAGTTGGGCGTTCATGGTGAGTTCCAGCACCTCTTTTTCTAGAAAAATAGCACAGCATAAACCCATCCCCAGGGCCCCCTACCCGATAAAAAAAGCATTATTCCAAATAGCGGTTTGCACGACCCACTAAGGAAGATAACAACACAAAGAAATTCAAAACAGGAAGAATCAATTGCACCTTTAGTCAAACTCCAGTTAAAACTACTTCGTTTAATTAATTCAGCTAAACTGAACTTGATCCAGCGGCGCCAGCTATTACCAATAATTGGCTATCTTGTGATGACTCAGAATCGTAAATGGCCAAAGGAAATGGTTTTGAAAGCGACGACGGCAGAAAAACTTTATATATATATATATTGGTTTTACATAATTTTATACATTTTAACTTTCACCATTTCAAAGATTAAAATAAAAGGTTCTTTTGAACCTTGGGCCTGCTTCCCTCCCTCCCTGGGTTCCGTATTTAAAATTAGATTTTCTGCAACTTTCACCATTATCCATCTGTTACATATCCATAGTTACTGTAGTTAATTCCACATTACAAGTGACATCACATTCCTGCCAATGATTTTAACTGTTTACAGTGGTCTTTTGAGTAAATTAGGAATTTACTCCAGTCTTTTAAAAATACTTGATCTTCCTGGTTTCTGATCTTCCCCGTCAGTTTCGCCATCTCTGCATACTCCATCAGTTTCGTCTGCCATTCTTCTCTGAGCAGCAACAAGCAACATGTCGGCTAATAATGTACTGACAATATCTTTATAACACTATACTGTTTCAGAATTCATAAACAGAAGACATGTAATATGTGCATGGAGTCACAAACTAATAAGAATCAAATAAATGTTCCATGAACAGGAATGGTAGGAGTGGTAAGTCACTGTCAAAGATCCCTGAAATGGATTAATAGGCCCCAAAAGTATATCAAATACATCAGCTTACTGCACTTTTTAGTGATAACTGATCCATGGCCATTTGATGTACTTTTGGGGACTATTATTTTGCTGATGAAGATTGAAACAGTTCGTTACCTTGGAAGAACTGTTCTGTCTGCTGCTGTGCCCAGAGCTCCCTATTATGGCGTTCGGAGCACCCATCATCTCATGTTTGTAGGATATTGACTGTGGAAAGGCCTTCTGCCTCCATTTCAGTGATCCTTGACGGTGATTTACCACTCCTACCATTCCTGTTCATGGAACATTTATTCGATTTTTATTAGTTTGTGACTCTGTGCACATACTATAAGTCTTCTGTTTATGAATTTTGAAGCAGTATAGTGCCGACAAAAATCCGTATAGTTAAAGCTATGGTGTTCCCAATAGTGATGTATGGAAGTGAGAGCTGGACCATAAAGAAGGCTGATCGCCGAAGAATGGATGCTTTTGAATTATGGCGCTGGAGGAGACTCATGAGAGTCCCATGGACTGCAAGAAGATCAGACCTCTCCATTCTGAAGGAAATCAGCCCTGAGTGCTCACTGGAAGGACAGATCGTGAAGCTGAGGCTCCAGTACTTTGGCCACCTCATGAGAAGAGAAAACTCCCTGGAAAAGCCCCTGATGTTGGGAAAGATGGAAGGCACAAGGAGAAGGGGACAACACAGGACGAGATGGTGGGACAGTGTTCTCGAAGCTACCAGCATGAGTTTGACCAAACTGCGGGAGGCAGTGGAAGACAGGAGTGCCTGGCGTGCTCTGGTCCAGGGGGTCACAAAGAGTCGGACACGACTAAACAACTAAACAACAACAACAATGGTGTTATACAAATATTGTCAGTACATTATTAGCCAATGTGTTGCTTGTTGTTGTTCAGAGTGTTCTGTTTTGCAACACAGGTGATTTTCTTGCCAGTGTGGTGTAGTGGTTAGGAGCGGTAGACTCATAATCTGGTGAACCGGGTTCGCGTTCCCGCTCCTCCACCTGCAGCTGCTGGGTGACCTTGGGCCAGTCACACTTCTCTGAAGTCTCTCAGCCCCACTCACCTCACAGAGTGTTTGTTGTGGGGGAGGAAGGGAAAGGAGAATGTTAGCCGCTTTGAGACTCCTTCGGGTAGTGATAAAGCGGGATATCAAATCCAAACAACAACTCCTCCTCCTCCTCCTCCTCCTCCTCCTCCTCCTCTTCTTCTTCTTCTTCTTCTTCTTCTTCTTCTTCTTCTTTGGTGTATTCCTCTCTGAGGGCAGTAAAACTTTCAATAAGAATTGAGGAAGGTGTTTTGCTCTATACCCTCTAGCATGGCCCATAATAAATAAGCAATCAACGTCCTCAGAGGGTCTGTCCCCAGCGCCCCCTGCCACCCCCATTGCCTCTTAGTACCCTCCTAGGTAATTCTCCTCCAAGACATGGAAATCCCCACTTTGGGTACTACTGGGCTCCACTGACTGCCTAATCCCGAGAGAGAGAGAGAGCTCACTGGGCACCAAGCTCACCCACGCTTCCTAAATCCTGATGTGCAGTTCATTGCTCAGTGGTAGTGAGTGACGTACACTCCGCACATGCTCAGCACTGCTCTTCTTTGCCATCGGGTCCCCTTTGTTTTGCCAGTGCTGAGTCTGACCCTGAAAACCGGATTCAAGCCTCAGCTTAAATGAAACCTTGGCGTTGCTACTGCTGACCGTTTGAGTTGCAGGCTAACGCTTTTCTCTCTTCAAGAGGCTGGAAAGCACTGCAAGCTATTAGAGGAGGCAGGGCAAGCACAGAGCTTAATAAATCAGGAGAGGAAGATGGATCTGGCACAGGTCCCATTGGGCAGATTCTTACCTCTGCCGCTAACCTCTGCAGCATCAGACGCTGGATGAGTGAGGGAGCAGGCAGGGTGGATCTGAGAGGAAGAGGAAGAGGCAAGATCGAGTTTTGGACTATGTACGCAACTCCCATCATCTTCAGCTGTGGCTGGCTGGGCCTGATGGAAATTGTAGTTCAGAACACCTAGAGGGTGTCGGGTTGCGGAGGATGCCAGAAGATGGAAGCAGGTCATCCAAGGTGGTGAGGGGGGATGGGCCCTTTCGCTCAGGCCTCGCCCGTCCACTGCCACCAGATTTAATAAGAGCATGAAAAGAGCATAAAAAGAGCCAGATTTAATAAGAGCATAAAAAGAGCCACGGGATCAGGCCCGTGGCCCATCTCAGTGCCGGATTTACGTATAAGCTAAACAAGCTATAGGTTAGGCCCCCCAAAAAAATTAAAGGGGAAAAAAGAACTGGATGTACATTTCCAAAATATAAGATAAAAAACCAATAAAATAAAACCTACATACAGCAACATTGTTTGTGTGTTGTGTAGGCTCCTGTGATGTAAGTCATGGGCCCCGCCTGCTAGCCTGCTCCCTAAAATATCATTGGGTGGCTCCTTTCTATATATAGGGTGCCTGAGTCTAGGGCTTGCCGATCAGAAGGTCGGTGGTTCAAATCCCCGCGACGGGGTGAGCTCCCGTTGCTCAGTCCCTGCTCCTGCCAACCTAGCAGTTCGAAAGCACGTCAAAGTGCAAGTAGATAAACAGGCACCGCTCCGGCGGGAAGGTAAATGGCGTTTCCGTGTGCTGCTCTGGTTCGTCAGAAGCGGCTCAGTCATGCTGGCCACATGACCCGGAAAAACTGTCTGCGGACAAACTCCGGCTCCCTCGGCCAGTAAAGCAAGATGAGCGCCGCAACCCCAGAGTCGGTCACGACTGGACCTAATGGTCAGGGGTCCCTTTACCTTTACATTCTGCATGGACTGGTTGCAACATGTGCAAATGGCTTGAGATACCTATTAGGTCCATCAATTACCATATAGCATATATTCAACACAAAAAACAGCAACCATTTGTTGTGGACAAAGAACAGCTGGACATTAAGGGCCCCATTACCTTCAGTAGCTGAGGGCCTCATCAAACCTCAATCTTGCCCATCTCTTCCAGCATCCTGTTCTTACAGCAGCTGAACAGTTGCATGTGCTGTGGGAAACCAGCAAGCAGGATCCGAGCGCAAGAACACCTCTTCCCCACTGAAGTTTCCAGCAACTGGGATTCAGAAGCATCGCTGTCTCCCACTGTGGAGGCAGAACACAGCCTTCCTGACTAGCAAGCGTCCCAAAATCCAACTCTTCTGGACATCAATCATACCAGAAATATGCAAAATAACTAAGCAAGTGTTAGAAGTCACCCCAGAACTGGCCCTACTGAACATCTTCCCAGACAATAATGCCCACTCACATCATAAAGAACTCATAGCCCACCTACTCTCAGCAGCCAGAAACATCATAGCTGGAGAGACCTGTCAGGAATAAGCATGGACCAATGGTATCAAATAGTACAGTGGTACCTCGGGTTATGTACTTAATTCGTTCTGGAGGTCCGTTCTCAACCTGAAACTGTGCTTAACCTGAAGCACCACTTTAGCTAATGGGGCCTCCTGCTACTGCCGGAGCACGATTTCTGTTCTCATCCTGAAGCAAAGTTCTTAACCCGAGGTAATATTTCTGGGTTAGCGGAGTCTGTAACCTGAAGCGTATGTAACCTGAAGTGTATCTAACCTGAGGTACCACTGTATGGGAAACAGCCTTATTAGAAAAACTAACCAGTAAACTGAAACTGACATGGGGACAAATAGAAGAGGATGCCTTTGCCCTGGTATGGGTCCCCTTTATCACATATGTAGCCCAACAAGACAACGATGAGAATCCGCCGACAGCATACAAATCAATCTGGCTAACCTGATCCAAATACACACACACACACACACACACACACACACATCTCACTATAGCCAACCAAAGACAAGCAACCACACCCTAGGCCAGGGGTCAGCAAACTTTTTCAGCAGGGGGCTGGTCCACTGTCCCTCAGACCTTGTGGGGGGCTGGGCTATATTTGGGGGGGGGGTATGAACGAATTCCTATGCCCCACAAATAACCCAGAGATGCATTTTAAATAAAAGCACACATTCTACTGATGTAAAAACACGCTGATTCCCGGACCATCTGCGGGCTGGATTGAGAAGGCGATTGGGTCGGATCCAGCCCCTGGGCCTTAGTTTGCCTACCTCTGCCCTAGGCCACCCCTAACCTCTCTCACTACCAAGGAAATACAACAAGCGAATAGTAAGAGAACCCCCACAAGTGACGCTGACACAAAACCCCACAAATACACTAAGTAGAAGAAAAGAATTTTTACTTTCTTGGGCTCCATGATCACTGCAGATGGTGACAGCAGCCACGAAATTAAAAGACGCCTGCTTCTTGGGAGAAAGGCGATGGCAAACCTAGACAGCGTCTTAAAAAGCAGAGACATCACCTTGCCAACAAAGGTCCGTATAGTTAAAGCTCTGGTTTTCCCAGTAGTGATGTATGGAAGTGAGAGCTGGACCATCAAGAAGGCGGATCGCCGAAGAATGAATGCTTTTGAATTCTGGTGCTGGAGGAGACTCTTGAGAGTCCCATGGACTGCAAGAAGATCAAACGTATCCATTCTTAAGGAAATCAGCCCTGAGTGCTCACTGGAAGGACAGATCGTGGAGCTGAGGCCCCAAGACTTTGCCCACCTCCTGAGAAGAGAAGACTCCCTGGAAAAGACCCTGATGTTGGGGAAGATGGAGGGCACAAGGAGAAGGGGACGACGAGATGGTGGGACAGTGTTCTCGAAGCTACCAGCATGAGTCTGACCAAACTGTGGGAGGCAGTGGAAGACAGGAGTGCCTGGCGTGCTCTGGTCCAGGGGGTCACGAAGAGGCGGACACGACTAAACGACTCAACAACAACAAGAAGAATCCCACCCCACTCACCATTCCCCCTTCCCCCTCTTCCCCCCTCTTTTCTTCCTAACCTAACACTGTATGCAACACTTATGCTTTGCAACAAATAAAACTGACAAATAAAACAAATAAAACACAACTTGAAAAAAGAGACAATGCATGTATTTTTGTAAACTAAGAAATCATATATATATATATATATATCCCATTCCTCCATGAATTTTTCCAATCCCTTTTTAGGTTAGCAGCCATGACTGCTCCCTGTGGCAGTGAGTTCCATAGTTTATGCGCCATCCAAAGTAGTGCTTTCTTTTATCTGTCCTGAACCCCATCAACGTCCAGCTTCGTCGGATGTCCTTATGGGACGTCCATCATGCCACGCAGATGCGTGCCCCTTGCCCCTTGCCCCTTGCAGGGGAGGTCTGCAGCTGACATTGGGGCAGCCCAGCTCCACCGGAATCTCTGGCGCTTCTACAGCAGCCAAGCATTTCTCTGGTTATATAAAGCCTGTGGTTAACATACGTGAGGATTTGCGGGAAAATCGTATTACTACTGTGAAAATGTTAATTGCAAGAAACATTAATGACGGCATGTCGGGCAATTAAGGCCTGGCTGGCGCAGAGAGCTCAGGGCTTGGCAAGGAGGTGTGGAAGGCAGATGAGATAACGGGTTTATCTAAGGAGCAGAAGAAATGCCAGATGTATCAGAAACAGTACATTCTGATGATTGTTGTTTTTTTAGACCTGTGGTTCCCAAACCTTTTGTGGCCACTGCCTCGTCGGTTCCATAATCTCACCCCAAATGTCCCACAAAAAATAATAATTCAGAACAGTGCTTTGCTTCAGACCTACTCAGGAAGATAACACCCCCCCCCCACGAAATTCAGAACAAGAAATTGCACATTTATGTAGGATCCGGTTAAAACTAGTTACCTTGATTAAGGCAACAAAATGGATGAACTGGATGCTGGGATACCAGCTTTTCGATGTCTCATAGCCGTTTACACCTCCAGTGCTTCCCCCCATCGCTGACACCCCTTGCCTCTTAGAGCCCCCCCCCCACTTTGGGAACTGCTGGCTCAGATCGTAAGCTGCTCAAGTTGTTCTGCAGAGATGCAGGGATGCTGCAAGCGTGATGTACTTAATAACACATGGGATAATGAAGGAAGATGGAGGGCGGCTGCTGTTTTGTCTGCAAGGAAGAGAGCACAGCTGGGGGTCTCCCAATTGCTTTCCCCACCCCACTGAGCCAGTGAGTTGGGAGAAGGACGGGCGTATAATTATCTCGCCCCCCACAAAGGACCACTATTTCTCTCTGGGTCCACCACCTGGGAGAGGATTGAGAGAGACTTTTGCTGCGTGGGCAGAGATATTTTGCATTTGTGCAAAAGATGAATTCACCTTCTAAGATAAAACGATGATGCAGGTGGGGAGGCTCAGCTGGTTAGAGCATAGGTAGGCACGGCAGCTAAAAAAGCCAATGCAATTCTGGGCCTCATCAATAGGAGTATAGCATCTAGATCAAGGGAAGTAATAGTGCCACTGTATTCTGCTCTGGTCAGACCTCACCTGGAGTACTGGGTCCAGTTCTGGGCACCACAGTTCAAGAAGGACACTGACAAACTGGAACGTGTCCAGAGGAGGGCAACCAAAATGGTCAAAGGCCTGGAAACGATGCCTTATGAGGAACGGCTAAGGGAGCTGGGCATGTTTAGCCTGGAGAAGAGGAGGTTAAGGGGTGATATGATAGCCATGTTCAAATATATAAAAGGATGTCACATAGAGGAGGGAGAAAGGTTGTTTTCTGCTGCTCCAGAGAAGCGGACATGGAGCAATGGATCCAAACTGCAAGAAAGAAGATTCCGCCTAAACATTAGGAAGAACTTCCTGACAGTAAGAGCTGTTTGACAGTGGAATTTGCTGCCAAGGAGTGTGGTGGAGTCTCCTTCTTTGGAGGTCTTTAAGCAGAGGCTTGACAACCATATGTCAGGAGTGCTCTGATGGTGTTTCCTGCTTGGCAGGGGGTTGGACTCGATGGCCCTTGTGGTCTCTTCCAGCTCTATGATTCTATGATTCTAAGGCCTGGGGGCCGGATCTGGCCCAATCGCCTTCTAAATCCGGCCCGCAGATGGTCCGGGAATCAGCATGTTTTTACATGAGTAGAATGTGTCCTTTTATTTAAAATGCATCTTTGGGTTATTTGTGGGGCATAGAAATTCGTTCATCTTTTCCCCCCAAAATATAGTCCTGCCCACCATATGGTCTGAGGGACAGTGGACCGGCCCCCTGCTGAAAAAGTTTGCTGACCCCTGGGTTAGAGAGTCCAGGGAGGGGTGGGTCTGTTCCGCTGCCAAACAGCTTTGGGAGAGTCCTCCCAGGCCTGAGATTCTTAGAGCTAGAGGAAAACGTTTGGCTAATTTATGGAAGAGCAGGGAGGGAGACTGGGCTTAGGCTGTGAGTGAGAAGGCTGAACTGTTGAGAGAAGCTCTGGGACAGCTGATTAGGTAGAGTATGAGGCTGTTAATCTCTGCATTGTGGGTTCAAGACCCGTGTTGAGCAAAAGATTCCTGAATTGCAGGGGTTGGACTAGATGACCCTCGTGGTCCCTTCCAGCTGTATGAGTCTTCTAATGGATGAAGCAGCATCTTAAGAACACTTTTTTTGCAGGGGGTTGGACTAGATGACCCTTGGGTCCCTCCCAACTCTGCAATTCCATGATTCTAAGATAGAGCAGCATTTTTCAGGGCGGTTAAGATCCATTTTGAATTTAATGTTGAGATGCCTGGAGCCTTCCTGGTGGTCCCTTATTCCATGGTCCTGCCCAGTGCCAGATTTACGTTTAAGCTAAACAAGCTATAGTTTAGGGCCCAACTCTCTTGGGGGCCCCAAAAAAAATTAAAAGGAAAAAAGAACTGGATGTACATTTCCAAAATAGAAGAGAAAAAGCTAATAAAATAAAACCTACATACAGGTACAGTGTTTTGTGTTGTGTAGACTCCTATGATATAAGTCATGGGCCCCGCCTGCTAGCCTGCTCCCTCAAATATCACTGGTTTGCTCCTTTCTATATATAGGGTGCCTACATTCTGCATGCACTGGTTGCATGGCAACATGTGCAAATGGCTTGAGATACCTATTGTTGTTGTTTAGTCGTTCAGTTGTGTCCGACTCTTTATGACCCCCTGGACCAGAGCACGCCAGGCCCTCCTGTCTTCCACTGCCTCCTGCAGTTTGGTCAAACTCATGCTGGTAGCTTTGAGAACACTGTCCAACCATCTCGTCCTCTGTCGTCCCCTTCTCCTTGTGCCCTCCATCTTTCCCAACATCAGGGTCTTTTCCAGGGAGTCTTCTCTTCTCATGAAGTGACCAAAGTATTGAAGCCTCAGCTTCAGGATCTATCCTTCCAGTGAGCACTCAGGGCTGATTTCCTTCAGAATGGAGAGGTTGGATCTTCTTGCAGTCCATGGGACTCTCAAGAGTCTCAAGAGTGATCGACCTGGAGCAGAAACCGGCAAGCCACTCCCGTATCCCTGCCAAGAAAACTCCATGGACTCTTGAGAATCTTGAGATACTTATTAGGTCCATAAATTACCATCTAGCATATATTCCACAGAAAAAACAGTGACAATTTGTTGTTGACAAAGGACAGCTGGACATATGAAGGGCCCCATTACCTTCAGTAGCTGAGGGCCGAAATCCAGCCCTATCCCTGCCCCTGTCCCCCATCTCACAAAGTTCCACTAACAGGCACCCCCTCTCTCCTCTCTCTTCTCCAGGCCTCCTCAGGACATCAGCCTCGAGGAATTTGATGACGAAGATCTGTCTGAGATCACCGACGACTGTGGCATCGGCCTTAACTACGACTCGGACCACTATGAGAAGGTGAGAGGGGCAGTGGACGGGGTCAAGGAGGGATCGGTGGCATTTGGACACCAGATCTGTCACCGACGTCCTCTTTCTTGCAGAAGCCCCAGAGCCCAGCTCTGTGGGAGCTCCACAACTTGCAGCTCCTCTGCTCCCGAATAACTCTCAAAACTTTTGTTTCCCGGGTTTTCCTTTTGCTTTCAATGAAAATAGGAATGTCAGAATCTTCCTGCTGGATCAGGCCAGCCTGATACACAAGTGGGATGCAACAGCAATAGCCTCCTCCCCCTCTTGCTGGCTGCCATCCTCAAGTAGACTGGCTCTGTCCATGGAGGTTCCATTTAGGAATCACGAGAAACTAAGGAGAGCCCTGCAACAGCTTGGCCAGGCCAAAGGGGTCCTGTCTCACAGTGGCCAAGTGGATTCAAGCCTTTATCAGGAGAAACTGGCCACTCTCCAGGCACCCGGCTTGATCTCCTGTTGACCTCCCTGTCTGCATTCCCGGCAGGACCCAGGCTAGGTCGCGATAGGCGATCCTCCTCAGCGTGAGAAGAACACATCCCCTCTCTTTCCTGCCCCCCCTGGGCAGGGGAGAGAGATAGACAGAAACGTATTTACATTCCTTTATTTCTGTCTTTGCAGCGTTACAAAAATCATGTCTGCTCTCATCAAGCTTCAGCAGTCGAGAGACAACCTCCTCCTGTACTTCCTGTACAGCTCATATTACACTCTGAGCTAATTCCGGTGCTCTCTGCACTGTGAATTGACTGTCCCTCTGTTTCCCACGGAACAGTCCCAACATTCCCATTATGTTTTGCTTTCAAGCTACCAGCTCGCGGCCGCATTGCTTCTATATCGTAACATACTCCCCCATATGAATCAATGTGCGCTGCGAGCAAAGCGTGATCCAGAGAAGAAAACAAACAGTTGTTATACATATAACACTTGCCTGTTGTTTCAGTTCCACCCTTGGAACTACCCGCCACTGGTTTCCCCAGTGTACCTCTCTGGTTGTCTGTCTTCCAAGGAATGAGTGCATCTGCATTACCTTGGCTAGGGAATGTTGTGTTACGCTTAGCAACTCCCTGTTGTGTCTTTGTCTCTGACTTATACACACCTTCAGCCTGTCTTGAGTTGTCAACAATAGTAACACATGCTACAGCTGAGTTAGCAAACTCTTTTGAATACCTCTTGGGTGGTACACCCTTTGTAACTCTCTCAGACCTGCGTATGAGGTGCTGATCCTCTCTGCTCACTGGTTCAGTCTCAGGACTCTTTGGAGAACCAGTTCCAATAGTAAACAGTGGTTCATCCTTCACCTGTGAAGGTCTTTCCATTGTGTGAGATTTCCTCTCAATGACTGTGTCAACTGAGCTCTTTGAGCTAGTACTGTCACTCTCAGTACCACTGTAATCAGTAAAATCATCATCATCATCTGAACTGTCCTCAGTGGGAAATGTGTGAACAATTACTCTCTCCTGTTCAGGAGCACTCTCTAGAAATTTTGTGAGAATCACTTGACCAGATTCAGACAAAATTACTCTGTAGAGACCCTTTTCATAACCCACAAAAATGCCTCTAGCATTCTTTACTCCACCTGGAGCTTCAGTCTTCACATGAGACCCAAAAACCTTAAAATGGGCAACAGAAGGTTTTCTGTGGAATAGCTTTTCAAAAGGAGAACATCCTAAACCTTTTGAAACTTTTCTCACCCAACTGTAACAAAAACACATTAACGATTCCGCCCAATAATCATGTGGCAAATGTGAACTCAGCAATTGTGCCTTCATGCCATTTTGCAATTCTTTGTTCACTTGCACACAGACACTTCTGTTCCATGCTTCTGCAGAAACAGCAGTCTTGTGCCTTATGCCTCGCTTATCCAGGAAATCCTGAAAATCCTGCAAAAGAAAAACTGGCTTTTCATCTGTGAAAAGACAATCAATGTTAGCATTATGAACATTTTTAACCTTGTCACAAAACTCTTTAAACCTTTCTAAGGCTTCTTGTGGTTTCTGCAATATATATACCCACACATAATGAGAGAAATAATCCACACACACAAGATAATATCTTGCATTGCCTCTAGACGGTGCTAGAGGACCAATCACATCAGCATACACTCGCTGAAAAGCTTTGGTTACTTGCGTCGTCTTTTGGACGTTTTTCGACACACCTGCGAGAGAAATCATGTTAGAATCAGATGCATTACAATATATGCAATCACTTTGATCAAAAGTCAACAAATACAGTCCCAAACCCGGTCGCTTTCAGCTCCTGACCGTTGGCTTGTTTCACAGTGAAGCTTTGCTTCTTAAACGTTGAAAACAGTCCTCGCCGCGACGTCATGTGTTGTGTCGCTCCAGTGTCCAAAATAAACACGTTCTCCGTTGAAAATGCGGCTTTTGTTGACAGCAATACCTTTGCAGGTTTCACCTGGGACTTGGTACGACTTTTGCCTGACACCTCAGGCCTTGCAGAGCTCCCCTTAGCTCCTTTCTGTTGACGTGGCTTCTTACAATTCCGCTGAAGATGCCCAGTCTGTCCACAATTGAAACAACGGACAACGTTCAAAGCAACAGCCTGTTCTTCACTAGCAATAGCAGTGGGGTGTCAGAACTCCGAGCTTCTCTCCCCCTGTCTTTGACATCTATTGCAGCAAGTCTGTCTTTCTCATTGAGAATCACGGCACAAATTCTCTCTGTCGTGAGATCTGCGGCAGGTAGAGAACCAAGCTGACTTGCAACCGTTTTATAAGTCCGATTAAGGCTGTTAATAATCATGAAGCAGAATATCTCTTCCTGTAGAGGGAAATTGCGTTCCGCCATCTGCTGGCGTAAGAACTTCATCTCTGTCAGATGTGCTTGTACATCTCCATCAGGCGCTAGCCTTAGATTGGTTAGCTTTTCAAAATGCAGCAACGCTGAAGAACCAGCATCTCTTTGATGTATTCTACGCAGCGTTTGCCAAATCTCACGCGCGTATTCCAAACCCTGAATATGCACGAGCTGATCATCCGAGATACACAGAATTATGGCCGTCCTGGCTCTCACATTCTGTGAATTCCAACCTGGCGTTGGTGCAGCAGGGATGGGGTTATCAATCACCCCAAAAATCCTCTGATTCTGAAGCAGGGCTTTCATCTTTACAGACCATGAGGAATAATTGTCATTAGTCAGTGGAGGTGGGTAAGGTAAGCCTCCCCCCTTCTTGGTATCCATTTTGAATCCAAGCCCAGCTCTCACTCTCGAGCGTGTAAACTCCAAAAGTCTATTGGCTGTTTACTGCCTCACACTTGGCAGCTAAACGCAGGCTGTTTTGAAAATCCCTCCAAGAGCAGTGAGATATACAGACAAAACAAACGCTGTTTTATCAGTGTTTTTCCAGCCTCTCACAGTGCTCAGCCTTACTTCCGTGTTGGCCAGTAACTTTCCACTTTACTGACGTTTCGTTGCTTAGCAACTGGACATTCCAGGCTTGAGCAGCAACCCTTTTCAACCCCAGGAATGCGAAATATGCAGGCTATTTCTCTCAGTGCTGGTTTCATCCAAAAGCAGACACTCAGTGAACCGAAGAATGCTTCAATTCGCGTTCACTCTCACAGCCATAAAATCACCATACCTTGAGGGAATCCGTTGCTCAGCAAAAACACCTCCTCCGGTGCTCAGCCGTCCTTGTAGCTTCCATCCGCCCGCTACCACATTCTTTCTTTATCTCCTTGCAGAGGATGAAGTACGATCCATCAACCTCTCTTGTTGCTTTCATGGATCATAACCATCGGCTCCTTGCTACCATATGTTAGGATTCAAGCCTTTATCAGGAGAAACTGGCCACTCTCCAGGCACCCGGCTTGATCTCCTGTTGACCTCCCTGTCTGCATTCCCGGCAGGATCCAGGCTAGGTCGCGATAGGCGATCCTCCTCAGCGTGAGAAGAACACACCCCCTCTCTTTCCTGCCCCCCCCCCCGGGCAGGGGAGAGAGATAGACAGAAACGTATTTACATTCCTTTATTTCTGTCTTTGCAGCGTTACAAAAATCATGTCTGCTCTCATCAAGCTTCAGCAGTCGAGAGACAACCTCCTCCTGTACTTCCTGTACAGCTCATATTACACTCTGAGCTAATTCCGGTGCTCTCTGCACTGTGAATTGACTGTCCCTCTGTTTCCCACGGAACAGTCCCAACATTCCCATTATGTTTTGCTTTCAAGCTACCAGCTCGCGGCCGCATTGCTTCTATATCGTAACACTCAGACCCTGCTTGCGATTCCCAGTCATAGAATCATAGAATTGTAGAAGGGACCCCAAGGGACATCTAGTCCAACCCCCTGCGATGCAGGAATCACAGCTATTTAGGGCCAACACTGCCTTAGATAAATGTCTGGTGCCCTTTAGAGTGAGACTTGGGAAAAGGTGTCTAAGGAATGTCTTTTTGCCATGCACACACACAGACACACAGAAATTTATTATTATTATTATTATTATTATTATTATTATTATTAACCCAGTTGAACCAGATCCTGCAACAGGAGGTGAAAATTCCAGTTTAATTCCTGTGTTTTCGGCTACTGTTAAAGGTACAGGAGAGCAAAACAGAAGCAGCTTTGATCTCTCAAGGAGCATCACTGAAGCCCCCAGTGTGGGGGGGGGAGCAATTTTTACACCTTCTCCTGGAGTAATAATAATTATTTATTATTTATAACCCCACATATCTGGCTGGGTTTCCCCAGCCACTCTGGGCGGCTCCCAACAGAATATTAAAAACACAATAAAACATCAAGCATTAAAAACTTCCCTAAACAGGGCTGCCTTCAGATTTCTTCTAAATGTCAGATAGTTGTTTATTCCTTTGACATCTGGTGGGAGGGTGTTCCACAGGGCGGGTGCCACCACCGAGAAGGCCCTCTGCCTGGTTCCCTGCAACCTCACTTCTCGCAGGGAGGGAACCACCAGAAGGCCCTTGGACCTCAGTGTCCAGGCTGGACGATGGGGGTGGAGATGCTCCTTCAGATATACTGGGCCGAGGCCGTTTAGGGATTTAAAGGTCAGCACCAATACTTTGAATTGTGCCTGGAAATGTACTGGGAGCCGCTTCGGCGCAGCGGGGACCCTTCAAACCACAGGCGGGTGAAGCCTGTGACCCTGGGACTCGGCGGGCACTGTTTGCGCCCCCCCAACCTGCAAAGGAACCCGGCAACGGGCTCCGGAACAGAGCGGGGAAGTGGCGCTGTGCTGCGAGTCGTCTGCGTCTTTTGTGGAGTGAAGCCGCGTAGCTGTTGCCGGAGAGCGCTGCCTTTTTCCTGGACAATTCGGACTTTAAAACAAATATCCGTGAGTACCCAGAATTTGAACAAATTGGGACATTAAATGAAGATTAGTGAAAAGGACAGAATTGGACTATATATATATAAAAAAGAAAAATCGATTGAATTTGGTACGGAGCGGTAAGGGCTAAACAGGAAGTCACCCTTCCGCTCTTTTGTAAATATAACAAAGCAAAGACAATTTATACTAGAGCTTTGAAAATTGCTTTTAAAAGAGTGGATTCCAACATTTCAAATTGGGATATTTTTTTTGGACGATTTGAAGCAGTAAAAGGAAGTTATTTTCGTCCTGATCCTGGATCGGGGAAGTCAGGACTGACGTGAACCAATCAAGATATCTGTGTGTGACAGATAGTTAAAAGAAGAGAATTTTTGTGACTCTATTGTTCCCTTTCGCATTTTAAAGGAATATATATGGATAAAGTATTTTAAGTAACATGGAAATGTAACAGAAACAAATATAAGTCTTCTCCCTACGGGGAGCCTTAGAAACTGTAACTAATGCCAAGGACTTGACAGCTGTTACAAAGAATCGTGGGAGAGTGCAACAATGTTTTCAGAAGTTGTGGTTTGCCTGCTCAATGAAACAAATACTCTACTGGGAGAACTACACGATAAGGTGAACCAGATGGCCAAGTTGACTGGAAATCTCAGACTGGCAGCGGAAGGCGTTGATCAAACTGTGGGAATATATGCGGAGTCTATTCAGGACTTAAACCAGGAGTGTGTTCTGACAGAACAGGGGTTTGTGGCACTAAATCAGGAGTGTGGTTTGACAGAACAGTCTCAACAGGAGCTTGATCCTTCGGATTCGATAATGGAACTTGGAAAAAACCAGATATGGGAAGGGAAAGTTTGGCGTGGTTTGGAAATGGGGGGCTGGATTGACCCCCCTATGTTGGGATATCTGGACTTTTTAAATACAGTAACAGGCTGCGACATGTTTGGAATTGTGGGGGCCCACAATTTCGGAGGGCCCTTGAAGTATGTTTCTAAATACTACATGGATTGCAGCGATGAACAGGGAAAAGGATCTGAACTGAGGAGAAGGGCTAAAAACACTATTAAGTTGGAGTTACTACAAGCAAGTGACTACAGCCACAAATATGAAGAAAAGCTGTGGAAGGGCCATGGAAGTGACCTGAGGGCCTCGGACATAAGGTCACCGGGTTAGATTGAGGAATAAGAACTGACAAATCCCGAAACCAGGAGGAAGGGACGTTGGATAAAGACTGGACTTGTTTATATGCTTTTCTCTTTTTTCTTGTCTTTTAACTAACAGAATGTTTTATAAAGCTGTTAAATGAAAGAATGATAGAAAAATGAATGATAGAAAAATGTTGGAAGAAATTACCTGGCTTTAGTAAAGATGTATAAAGAATTATGAAAGAACATTATGAACATAAGAAGCTGGTAAAGTTAAGATCTAAATTTTAAATTTTAAGGTTTATTTTATTATAGAAAGATGGAAAGGATTTGCTGGGATAATTAACAACTAGAATACAAAGGAAGGGAGGAGGAGGAGGTCTAATATTTTCTTTTCTTTTTTATTATTTTTTTTTCTGTATTTTTCATTTTCTTATATTTTTATTTTTACTTTTGTATCTTTTTCTTTTTATTGTGTAAGTTTTTGTATTTTCTATTTTTTGTTATTGTGTAATTTTTGTATTCTGTTTGAAATCTCAATAAATATCATTATAAAAAAAAAAAAAAAGGAAATGTACTGGGAGCCAATGTAGGTCTTTAAGGACCGGTGTTATGTGGTCTCGGTGGCCACTCCCAGTCACCAGTCTGGCTGCCACATTCCAGATTAGTTGCAGAGTTAAGAGCAGGGGTCAGCAACTTTTTTTCAGCCGTGAGCTGGTCCACTGTCCCTCAGACCATGTGGTGGGGTGGACTATATTTTGAAGAAAAAAAATGAACGAATTCCTATGCCCCACAAATAACCCAGAGATGCATTTTACATAAAAGCACACATTCTACTCATGTAAAAACACGCTGATTTCCGGACCATCCGCAGGCCGGATTGAGAAGGCGATTGGGCCGCATCTAGCCCCCAGGCCTTAGGTTGCCGACCCCTGGTTAAGAGGGTCTGGAGACTTTCCCTTCCTTGTTTAGCCCATGTGGATCTCTTGCTGGTGCCGGGAAGCCACCTTCGGCAGAGCCGGTGGTTGACAGGTCACCTGCGGTGCGTTTGCTGAGTCAGTGCCTGTTCCCTGCTGCTGAGTCAGGGAGAGAGACTTCCCTGCCAGCTCTTTCGCACCCTGCGGAGGCACAAGACGGTCAGCACTTTCCGTCTTGGGAAATTGCGGAGCAGAAGATCCCATAAGGACACAAGGAGAGGCTGCTGGATCGGGCCAGTGGCCCATATGATCCTGCATCCTGTTCTTCTCACAGAGGCGACCCAGATGCCCATTATGGGAAGCCTGAACGCAGGATCCGAGCACCAAAGCAACTGTTACGATATAGAAGTAATGCGGCTGCGAGCTGGTAGCTTGAAAGCAAAACATAATGGGAATGTTGGGACTGTTCCGTGGGAAACAGAGGGACAGTCAATTCACAGTGCAGAGGGCACCGGAATTAGCTCAGAGTGTAATATGAGCTGTACAGGAAGTACAGGAGGAGTTAGTCTCTCGACTTCTGGAGCTTGAAGAGAGCAGTCATGATTTTTGTAACGCTGCAAAGACAGAAATAAAGGCATGTAAATACGTTTCTGTCTATCTCTCTTCCCTGCCCGGGGGGGGGGCAGGAAAGAGGGGGGGTGTTCTTCTCACGCTGAGAAGGATCGCCTATCGCGACCTCTGCCTGGATCCTGCTGGGGAATGCAGACAGGGAGGTCAACTGGAGATCAAGCCGGGTGCCTGGAGAGTGGCCAGTTTCTCCTGATAAAGGCTTGAATCCCAACATCAACGCCCCCCCTCCTGGGGTTTCCAGCAACTGGGAAGGTGGTGAAGGTCCTGTGTGAGTGTCTGGAAGTAGTTGGAGGATGGATGGCGGCTAACAGATTGAGGTTGAATCCTGACAAGACAGAAGTACTGTTTTGGGGGGACAGGGGAGGGGCAGGTGTGAAGGACTCCCTGGTCCTGAATGGGGCAACTGTGCCTCTGAAGGACCAGGTGCGCAGCCTGGGAGTCATTTTGGACTCACAGCTGTCCCTGGAGGCGCAGGTCAGTTCTGTGTCCAGGGCAGCTGTCTACCAGCTCTATCTGGTACGCAGGATGAGACCCTCCCTGCCCGCAGACTGTTTTGCCAGAGTGGTGCACACTCTGGTTATCTCCTGCTTGGACTTCTGCAATGCGCTCTACGTGGGGCTACCTTTGAAGGTGACACAGAAACTACCACTAATCCAGAATGCGGCAGCTAGACTGGTGATGGGGAGCGGCCGCTGAGACCACATAACACCAGTCTTGAAAGACCTACACTGGCTCCCACTACGTTTCCGAGCCCAATTCAAAGTGTTGGTGCTGACCTTTAAAGCCCTAAACGGCCTGTATCCCTGAAGGAGCGTCTCCACCCCCATCGTTCTGCCCGGACACTGAGGTCCAGCTCCGAGGGCCTTCTGGTCATTCTCTCCCTCCGAGAAGTGAGGTTACAGGGAACCAGGCAGAGGGCCTTCTTGGTGGTGGCGCCCGCCCTGTGGAATGCCCTCCCACCAGATGTCAAAGAGGAAAAACAACTACCAGACTTTTAGAAGACATCTGAAGGCAGCCCTGTTTAGGGAAGCTTTTAATGTTTAACAGACTACTGTATTTTTAATCTTTGTTGGAAGCCGCCCAGAGTGGCTGGGGAAACCAGCCAGATGGGCGAGGTATAAATAATAAATTATTGTTGTTGTTGTTCTTGTTGCCTCTGACTGTAGAGGGCAGATCGGAGCCATTCTGGCGAGTAGCCATTGGCAGCCCTCTCCTACATGAATATGGCTCAGGGCCGGATTTAGGTTTGATGAGGCCCTCAGCTGCTGAAAGTAATGGGGCCCTTTATATGTCCAGCTGTCCTTTGTCCACAACAAATTGGCGCTGTTTTTTGTGTTGAATATATGCTATATGGTAATTTATGGGCCTAATACATATCTCAAGCCATTTGCACATAACAAAATATGTACGGTATTTTATCAAAGTAATTGTTGAACTGAAATACAATTAAGAAGAAGTATATTAATAGTGAAATAATTCTTAAACTCTAACTTAAAATGATTTTTTATTCATAACAAACTTAATAATGGCATTTGGCAATAACAAAAGTTCCTTTAGAAACACAATTTACAAAGACTCATAATCTAGTCTCTAGAAACTTGCTATAACATGAAATAATAATAGGTGTAAATATGTGATGCAAACTATTAATAATTATGGAGAGCAGAATGTAGGCACCCTATATATAGAAAAGAGCAAACCAGTGATATTTGAGGGAGCAGGCTAGCAGGCGGGGCCCATGACTTACATCATAGGAGCCTACACAACACAAAACACTGTTGCTGTATGTAGGTTTTATTTTATTTGTTTTTTATTTTCTATTTTGGAAATGTACATCCAGCTTTTTTCCCCTTTAATTTTTTTTGGGGGGCCCCAAGAGATTTCAAATGGGACAACTAATGGAATGTTTAGTATAAGTAAGATTCAAAACACGACACTCCTTTTTACTCCTGTACTGTGAGATAGGTAAGGAATCCCAAAATTCCAGCTCTTTCTCCAAGCCACAAAACAGCTTGACTACATTTTTTAATTTATTTGTAGCCCATATTCCCAAATATATCCAAATATCTAATAGGATTTTGTTTTTCTCCCCCTGCCAGGACTGTCTGGTGCTGGAGAGATGTGAGCAGCCCAACCCCATCTCCACCTTCCAGGACGATTTCCAGGAGTTTGAGATGATCGATGACAACGAAGAGGAGGAGGAAGGGAACGGGCTGGAGGAGGTGCCCCCCTCACCCTCGGGGTCTCCAATCCCTTCGCCCACCCCAGAGGAGACCCAGAAGCATCGCCCCACCACTCTCAACCTGACCGTGACGGGCACACAGGTGAGTCTGGGAGGAGAGCCTTGGGCACCTGGAGTTTTGCAAATGCAACTCCTGGGAGCAACTTGGTCCCAAAGCATTCTGAAACAGCAGGTTTGTTGTTGTTGTTGTTTAGTCATTTAGTCGTGTCCGACTCTTCGTGACCCCCTGGACCAGAGCACGCCAGGCACTCCTGTCTTCCACTGCCTCCCACAGTTTGGTCAAACTCATGCTGGTATCTTCGAGAACACTGTCCCACCATCTCGTCCTCTGTCGTCCCCTTCTCCTTGTGCCCTCCATCTTTCCGAACATCAGGGTCTTTTCCAGGGAGCCTTCTGGAGAGGTTTGATCTTCTTGCAGTCCATGGGACTCTCAAGAGTCTCCTCCAGCACCAGAATTCAAAAGCATCAATTCTTCGGCGATCAGCCTTCTTTTTGGTCCAGCTCTCACTTCCATACATCACTACTGGGAAAACCATAGCTTTAACTAGACGGACCTTTGTTGGCAAGGTGATGTCTCTGCTTTTTAAGATGCTGTCTAGGTTGGTCATTGCTTTTCTCCCAAGAAGCAGGCGTCTTTTAATTTCGTGGCTGCTGTCACCATCTGCAGTGATCATGGAGCCCAAGAAAGTAAAAAGTTAGGAAGGATATTAATAAACAATACATCCTCTCCTGACTCCCTGAACATTTCCACATCCTGAGCCATCCAAGCAAGAGAGAGAGAGAGAGAGAGAGAGAGAGAGAGAGAGAGAGATGGACTGACTCCAGGAGCATTTCGCATCATAAATAAACCAGGAAGGAGTCGCTCTTCATCTGCATTAAAAGCTGCAAGCAGAGAGCAGACTCCTGATTTGCACACCCCCCCAAATGAGGCTGGGGGAAGTGAGTCTTCCCTGCTTGGCAACTGCTGCTGCCGCCACCACTGGCCTATTTGATGCACAGATGGGTTTCCAGATCTGACAGGACGTTCAAGAGTTTGGATGGCAACGCCTGCGATGCCCAGAGAGGCAGTGTGGCGTTTCTACGCAGCCCCCGGTGGTCTCATGGACTATTGACCCGTACACCACTAATTCGCTGCCACCAACCAGGTCCTCCCTGGTAAATCACTTTGTCTCAGTCAGGTTCTTAAGTTAACAAAGAAGAGTGTAGTTTATTGCAGACACAAGTAAACTCTAACTGCATTCAAAACCTTGTTACTCTTTACCTTCTTAGTCTTATTTTTATCTTGCCTCTAACTTTTCTACCTCCTCTCACACAAGAACCAACTGCACTAACTGTCTCTCTAATTCCAACTGTCTGCCAACTGCTTTCCCAACTGCCTTTCCCAACCAAACAACCCAAACCTCGGGCTAAGCCCTTTTATAAGCCTCTACCTATTAACTCTTTCTCTCCCCCTGTACAGACATTTTTAAAAGAATGGGCAAACGCCACAGGCAGGTTTCGCAATGCTCTACAAAAACCGGGCCGGGCATTTGTGGCTTTTGCAGGATTAAAAGTCAGAAACAGAGGAAGCTGCCTAGTTTCGGGGACAATTCTATCGCAGCGTTCGGGATGGAGGGAAGAAAGTCCTTCTTCACGCAGCGCGCAATTAAACTATGGCACCCACTCCCCCAGAAGGCAGGGATGGCCACCAACATAGCTGCAAATATAATGTTTTAAGTGCATTGTTCAAATGTGCCATTAGATGGCGATGTTGAGCAAATGGCAAATTCGATATATATATAAAACTTTTTTTAAAGAAGCATGTTCACAGCGTTTTTTATATGTGTCTAGATTCCACCTAGGAAGGCTTTAAAAGAGGATTAGACAAATTCATGGAGGAGGAGAGGGCTCCTTGCTGTGAGAACAGAATGCTGGACTAGATGCGCCCTTGGCCGGATTCAGCAAAGCTCTTTTTCTGTTATTATATCACTAATATATTGGCTGTCTCTCTCTCTATGCAACAGGGGTTTATTCGCAAACACGGGGGGGGGGGGGGGCTGATCAATTCATTCCCTGCAGATTCCTGCATGAACTGGTATTTTCGGCAACTACCAGGCTGAGAGCTGGGGCTGCGCAGTGGTTAGAGCGCTGGACCAGGACCCGGGTTCAAAACCCAACTTGGCCATGAGACTCACTGGGTGACGTTGGGCCAGTTACTCACTCACCCTAACCTACCTCACAGGGTTGTTGTGAGAGTAAAGTGGGGAGGAGGGCAACTACGTAAGCCTCTCTGAGCTCCTTAGAGGAACAGTGGGATATAAATGTAAATAATGATGATAATAATAATGATAATAATAGACAGACTGGAATCCTTCAGATTTTGCACTTCTCTGAATTCCGCAATGCAGCCTTTGGCTAAAAATAAAATACAGTGGTACCTCTGGTTGCGAACGGGATTCATTCCGGAGGCCTGTTTGCAACATGAAAAGAATGCAACCTGCAGCAGCACGTCTGCGCATGCGCGGGTTGCAATTCGCCACTTCTGTGCATGCACATGACGTCATTTTGCGTGTCTGCGCATGTGCGAGCAGCAAAATCCGGAAGTAACCCTTTCCGGTACTTCCGGGTTGCCGCAGGACGCAACCTGAAAGAACGTAACATGAAGCGGACATAACATGAGGTATGACTGTACTCAATGTATATGTAATGCGCATTTTGAATTTTTTTAACTGAATTTATACGCCACCTTTTCCTCAAAGGAGCTCAAGGAGCTGTCATTCATCCTCTCCCTCCTTGTTTAATCCCCGCAACAAAACTGCGAGGTCAGTCGGGCTGAGAGAAGGCAATGACTGCCCCCCCCCAGGGCACTCAGTGAGCTTTATGGCTGAGTGGGGGGATTTGAGAGCCCAGCTCTCCCAGCTCCTGGCCCTGCGCTCTAACCAATACCCAGCACTTGGTCTCCAAAGTTCATTTAGAAATGCGTAGCGCGTGCAAAAACATTTAAACACAACTTTTCATGCCTTGGTCCAGTATACCTGAAGGAGCGTCTCCACCTCCATCGTTCAGCCCGGACACTGAGGTCCAGCACCAAGGCCTTCTGGCGGTTCCCTCCCTGCGAGAAGTGAGGTTACAGGGAACCAGGCAGAGGGCCTTCTCGGTGGTGGCACCCGCCCTGTGGAACACCCTCCCACCAGATGTGAAGGAAATAAACCACTATCTGACATTTAGAAGACATCTGAAGGCAGCCCTGTATTGGGAAGCTTTTAATGTTTAATAGGTTATTGTATTTTACTGTTTTGTTGGAAGCCGCCCAGAGTGGCTGGGGTATAAATAATAAATTATTATTATTATTATGTGCACGCGCGCGCACACACACACACACACATGGTGGACACAGGGCTGAGTGGACCTTTGAACGATGTGAAACTGATAGCAACTCAAACAGGCTGAGTTCTACCTCTTTCATTGCAGGAGATGGACTAGATGATCCTCAGACCCCTTCCAAGTCTAAAATTCTCTGATTCTCTGATTCCTTCTTCCAAAAGGAAGACCCAAAACTGGGTGTTGGATTGGGGCATCTTTAGTCTTCCCTCCTTTCCCCACGGAAGCAGCTGCTTCAAACCATCCTCTCCCCGCCCCCCCATCTCGTGTCAGTTCATGTGCTTGTCACTAAGCCCCTTTTGGAATTAATCTTTCCCAATCTCTCCCCCCCCCCAACTTTAATCTGCTGTGTCATTAACCCTCCCTAGAGGGCTCAGTCGGCAAGGCTGCGAGTGCAATTTTCCGAAATATGCGTTCCGAATAATGTGCTGCACGGAAGAGAGGCAGGAAGGAAGAGGAACGGCAAAGAGGCCTCGCTTTCTGAAAGCACCTTAGCATTCCAAAAGATGAATGAAAACATCTTAAACCACCAGTGCCCCGATTTTTGTCAACATCGAACGGACGGGTTCCGATTCATTCATATAAAAACCCTTTCCTAAAGACACTGATGGGAGTGCACAGATCAGGCTGGAATAAACCTGAGGACACTTGCAAGAACTCAGTTGTTTTCATGCAGCTGGCAGCGCCTGCACTGTGGAACTACCTGCCTCTTGATATCACGTTATCCTTTTTGGAGCCTGCTGAAAACATTTTTGCTTAGACAAGCCTGTCCAGATGTTTAGAAAGGTGGCCCGAGTTTTAATTCTCTTCTTAGTCCATTGTTAACTTTTTAAGAGTTTTTAATTATTGCTGTTAGTTTTTCTTATTCATAATAGCCGTCTGTCAGGGATGCTTTAGTTGCGATTTCTGCATTTCAGAGAGTTGGGCTGGATGATCCTTGGGATTATTTTACAACGCTGCATTTCTAAGATAATTTTATTAATCTATCCTTTTTTGTAAACCTCTTTGAGGCGTTTTTGTTTTCATGGAATCATAGAATTGTAGAGTTGGAAGGGACCCTAAGGATCATCTATTCTAACCCTCTGCAATTCATGATAGGCAGTCATCCAATCCCTCCAATTGGGGGGGGGGGGATTGGGGTTGGGTTTTTGTTTTTGTTTTGCAATCAAGCGTTGTGCAAATTTTATGAAATAATTAAGTAACGCAGAAAAGTTTGGCAATGCAGCGGTTCTCTCACCAAATACAGGCATTCCCAAACACATTTCACCTGCAATGGCACTATTTTAAATCCCCTTGGCTACTTCTCCAATTCAAATTCATCTACATTCTGATCTGCATGTTAATCCAGATCAGGTAAACTCATACCAGAATTTGGAGTCTTTGTGCTTCATGCGGCAGCTAGACTGGGGACCGGGAGCGGCTGCTGAGACCACATAACACTGGTCTTGAAAGACCTACACTGGCTCCCAGTACGTTTCCGAGCACAATTCAAAGTGTTGGTGCTGATCTTGAAAGCCCTAAACAGCCTCGGTCCAGTATCCCTGAAGGAGCGTCTCCACCCCCATCGTTCAGCCTGGACACTGAGGTCCAGCTCAGAGGGCCTTCTGGCGGTTCCCTCCCTGCAAGAAGCAAAGTTACAGGGAAGCAGGCAGAGGGCCTTCTCGGTGGTGGCGCCCGCCCTGTGGAACGCCCTCCCAGCAGATGTCAAGGAAATAAACAACTATCTGACTTTTAGAAGACATCTGAAGGAAGGCCTATTTAGGGAAATTTGTAATGTTTGATGTATTTATTGTGTTTTTAATATTCTGTTGGCAGCCGCCCAGAGTGGCCGAGGAAACCCAGCCAGATGGGCGGGGTTTAAAAAAACAAATTATCATTATATTATTATTATTATTATTATTATTATTATTATTATTCTAATTCTGGAGCATAGCCATTGTGGCTGGTGACCCTTGACAAACCTGCACCAGTCCTACCTGGAGAAGCCAACACTCACCTGGGGCTTTCTGCAATCAAAGCAGGTGTCTTCCTTTCCCACTGCTGGAGCTGCCGGTTAAATGCCTTAACCTGATATCTAATGGCACAATCTTTTGCGGCTCCATTGACCCGCTCCATCAACCCACTTTGTGCCCCAGATCCTGCGAGTCAGGTGGGACTCTGAAAGGAGCAAGGGCTGCTCTCATTCTTTGAGGCAACTCCTTCTGTGCCATCATGGTTTTGGAAGTGCCCCTTTTCCGATTCAGCGCTGCAAAAATGCTCTCAACCGTAGGCCCCGAACCAGAGGTGGATCCTCTCTTGGAATGGTAGACTGCAGCAATCCCTGACTGAGCAGCTCCCTCCTTCGGCACAGTTTGTTGTGATCCCTTCATTGCAGGGGTTGGACTAGATGACTCTTGGTGTCCCTTCGAACCCTACAGTTCTATGATTCATTGGAGGGTTTTAAACAGGGGTTGTGGGGCTTCTTGCTAGAGGAGACTCTTGAGAGTCCCATGGACTGCAAGAAGATCCAACCTATTCATTCTGAAGGAAATCGGCCCTGAGTGCTCACTGGAAGGACAGATCCTGAAGCTGAGGCTCCAAGACTTTGGCCACCTCATGAGAAGAGAAGACTCCCTGGAAAAGACCCTCATGTTGGGAAAGATGGAGGGCACAAGGAGAAGGGGACAACAGAGGACGAGATGGTGGGACAGTGTTCTCGAAGTGGCCAACATGAGTTTGACCAAACTGCGGGAGGCAGTGGAAGACAGGAGTGCCTGGCGTGCTCTGGTCCAGGGGGTCACGAAGAGTCGGACACGACTAAACGACTAAACAACAAGAGGTGGGGCTTCTGTCAGGGTTCCTAAGCTGTGATTCCATTATTGCAGGCGGTTGGAATAGGTGACCTTTGGGTGTATCAAACCTATGATTCTGTGATTCTTCTTATTAAATTTCCATTTTATCACATTTAAACACATCCTTATACTCTTTACATATTTGCTCTATCGAGCTTCAACTTCTCTCCATCCCATCTCATGACTTTCATAGTTCATTATTACTTCATAGCAGTTATACGTTTTCCAGTTTGCGTTTCACTCCTTCCGTTTATAACAAAATTTTAAATAGATGTACAGAAGGTACAAATCACACACCTTGCAAGTTTTCTTACAACAACCTTGCTAGTGTTGTTAATTGTTTACAGTTATCCTTCGGATATTGTACAGATTTACTCCAGTCTTTTTGGAAAGCGTGGTCATGCTGGTTTCGGATTTTCCCGGACAGCTTTGCCGGTTCTGCATAGTCCATCATCTTCATCCACCATTCTTCTAACGAAGGGATTTCCTGTTGCTTCCATTTTTGGGCCAAAAGAGTTCTTGCTGCTGTTGTTTCACACATTAACAGTTTAATGTCTCTCTTTGGCGTCTCTTCCAGAAATGCCTCTGGTTTTTTCCACAAAAGTACTTTTAAACATTTTCTTTAACTCATCTCTGCTCTCTTTTCCTCCCCTGCGTGACCAGGACTCCCTGAACAACAACAGCAGCTGCAACCCAGCACCCCCCTTGCAAAGGGCCACCTGGCAGGAGACTCTGCTCCACACTTCTTCTTCCTCCTCCTCCTCTTCGGTGCCCCATGCTGGTGAGTGACCTCCCATACCCCTGGCCGCCTGGGGAGAACTGGCTCTCCACAGCAAGCAGAAACTGTGCAGGAGGGTGGAGGTACAGAGGTACAGAGACTTTCAGCCCACAGGTCTCAATAACCCCAGTGCGGGTCCCAGTTAGACCACACGGCCTATCCCCCCGACAAATCACATTCTGTGTGGTTACAGGTAGGTAGGCGTGTTGGTCTCCATAGTCAAAATAAATTTTTTTAAAATTCCTTCCAGTAGCATCTTAAAGGTAAAGTGACCCCTGACCATTAGGTCCAGTTGCAGACGACTCTGGGGTTGCAGCGCTCATCTCGCTTTATTGGCCGAGGGAGCTGGCGTACAGCTTCCAGGTCATGTGGCCAGCATGACTAAGCCGCTTCTGGCGAACCAGAGCAGCGCACGGAAACGCCGCTTACCTTCCCACCGGAGTGGTACCTATTTATCTACTTGCACTTTGACGTGCTTTCGAACTGCTAGGTTGGCAGGAGCTGGGACCGAGCAATGGGAGCTCACCCCATTGCGGGGATTTGAACCGCTGACCTTCTGATCGGCAAGTCCTAGGCTCTGTGGTTTAACCCACAGCACCACCCGGTACATGCACACGAAACACGCACACGAAAGCTCATACCAAGAACAACCTTAGTTGGACTCTAAGGTGCTACTGGAAGGATTATTATTATTATTATTATTCTGTGTGGTGTCGGGTATGGAAGAGGCTGCAGAGGAGCAACTGAGAGCTGACAACGGTTCCTTGCAAGCAGGGCTCACAGTTGGTGTCGATCAGCCGACAGGGAATCCCGCTGGTGCCAGGAACTCCATAGCGCAGCCCTGATTTGTCGAGGTCGCTTTCTCCATTTGCAGGAAGCTGTTTGCATTCATTCCTCGGCCCCCTGTGCATTCTTCCTTCTGCAGAGGAAGCTGCTTGCATGGCCACTGCTTCCTCCATCCCGACTGCAAGTCCCCTTTCAAGGCGCCCTCCCAGTGCCAATCAGCTGGTTGTTACAGAAAGTGTGTCTCCACAGAAGGTTGCTGCAACTGCCAATCAGCTGAAGGTTGGCAGCTGTTAGTCACCTGTTGTTAAGGCATCAGGCAATTGAGTCACAGGTGGGAGGTCCCATCCCCTTGTCCAAGTTGGTGCACAGCAGAAGTTGCTGGGGGGTGGGCAGGGATGTGGCTCCAACTCCCCACTTCTGCACTAGACTGACTCAAGGGATGGGCTGTGGAGTTCAAGAGCTACAGGACTTGCCAGTCAGGGTCTGGGCCATGGAATGGCAACAGCAAAGGCCTTTGGAGGTCTGGGATATATCACACTGTGAAACAGGACTGTTCATGGTGTCCCGACTATAAAATTGAAGAAATCGATATATATATAGCCGCACCGGCAGCATATTTCTTCTTTCTCGTATCCAAATATGCAAGGAGGGCTTTTACACTCGCCAGAAGCTCTGCCCTGCCCTCGCCGGTCCTGGAAGGATCCTTTTAAAAAGTCCCATATGCTCAGAGACTTTGCGCCTGTTCATTAGGGGAGATAGGAAGCCCAGAGCACTTGTTCTTTAGATGTCCCTTTTATGAAGAGGCACGTAGTGAGACCATTGATCCCCTGCTGGTGAGGCTCGCTGACCTCCCGGAAAAGCAAAAATTTGACCTTTTCCTGTTAGGCAAAGGTCATAAGATGACCCGGATGGTCGCCAGATTCTGTGTACAGATCTGTAGGCACAGACCGTCCCCCGACCCAAACTAGTTCATTAAGAAGACCCCCAAACTCGGTTCCATGGGTGACTCTGGGTCATCTCTCTGCGGCAGCTTATCTTAAAGTTTAAAGTGTTTATACGCTTATCGCATTTATAAATCTTAAATTTATTGTTGTACATTGTTTTAAATGTTTGTTTTCCTTCGGGGATTGTACCCCCAAGTGTGTTTTATAAGCTGGTCTCCGACCGTAATAAATTACCTATCTATCTATCTATTGCACGATGATAGGTTGGTCCAACTAGATAAGGCCCAGGGTGAGACGGTTGTGTAGACTCCCCCAGATTGCTGGCTTTGACCTCACTAGAGTGCTGTCGGGATGGTTCCTGAGTCCTGAACTTTGCCGTCTGCTCCTTCCCCTTGCAGAGCGATCCTCCGCTGTGCACCCGTGTCTCCAGGACGGACCGTGCTCAGACCCTCGGAGTGGCACAGGCCCTGGCCGAGCCCAACCTCCTTGCAAACCACCGCTTTATGATGCCGAAGGGAACAGCCAGGAGCTGCGGGAGGCCCCGCCCCCTGTCCGACCTGGGGAGGACTACAACATGAACATCGTCTCCTCCATGCCCGGCTCTCAGCCTCCTTCAGATTCATCTGTCCAGGCCCCCAGGGAGGTTGCAGAAGATCCCCAAGGTCCCATCACACGCCTGGCATCTAAGTCGCCCGTCTTCAGCCCCCACAGGTCACCGGCAACAGAGATTTACTGCGCCAGGTTCCAGAGGGATGCGGCAGGATGCCAGGAGGCAGAGAAGGTAGCTGAGGGCTCCCCCGTCGTCTTTGCTGGGGGGAAATCAGGGCACGGGTCCCCCATCTCACTGATTGACCAGGGAGGCTCCCCGCTGTCGGACGATGAGGCTCCCAAGGGCCGCCGAGATGCTGGGTCTGGAAGGAGCCACCCCACGGGAGACCATGCCGCCCCGACCAGAACGGCGACGGAATCCCTGAGCTCCGAAGGAGAAAGTGGCCACAGGGGCCGGGCACCCAGTGTGCGAGGGCCACCTTCTGCCTCGTCGGACACCACGTCCCCCTCATCAGACCCCGGTATTGAGGCAGACCTCACCAGCCGCAACTCCAAGTCCTTCCCACCATGCAGCCGGCACAGCGAGGACCTCAGCTCGCCTGGCTCCGACTCAGACGTGGAGGGCGAGATCGAGGCAGCCTTTGCCTGCAGCGGGAACCGCCTGGCCAGCAACATGATCTCCAGCATCTCGGAGACGGAGCTGGACCTGAGCAGCGACAGCAGCAGTGGACGCTCCTCCCACCTCACCAACTCCATTGAGGAGGCTAGCTCCCCGGGCTCAGAGGCCGAGCTGGAGGCAGACCTGGAGTCCCGGGGAGTGCTAGGCCTGAAGGACACCCTTCTGCTAGACGTGGGCAAAGAGGAGGAGGACGGGGTGGCGGTGGCCCCGGAGAGCGCAGTGGTGAGGAGGGACAGCCTGGCAGCCCTCAAGATAGAGGAGTTCTATGAGGACCCGTCCGCTCCTGTTGAGCCAATGGACAGGCCCCTCTCGGACTCGCTGGACCTGGAGATCGACCCCGACCACAGCCTGGAGACCCTGCGGCGCTCCTTCTACTTGCCGGTGGGGGCCAAGCTGGTGCCCAAGGGCCGCAGCGACAGCGATGACCGAGCGGGGAACAGCGAGTACGACTCCGATTCCGACTCCGAGTCGGAGCCGGACCTGAGCGAGGATTCCGACTCCCCGTGGCTGCTCAGCAACCTGGTGAACAAGATGATCTCAGAAGGCTCGTACCCCATCAAGTGTGCCGATGAGTGCTTCCCAGCGGCCCACTCCCTCTCGGACACCATCTCTCCCGCCTCCGACCTGGAGCCCGAGATCCCCAGCGAGGCCCTGGGGGAGGCGCAGCCCGGCCCTCCGCAGAGCATCGAGCTGGTGGACATGGAGACCCTCCGGTGTTCGCTACGGGAGGAGGAGAAGCCCACCGAGCCAGGGGGCCCGGCGGATGAGGTGGGGCCCTACCTGTTCATGAGCAACCTGACCAACGACACCATTGCTCCCGTCTTTCCTGGGAGGCCACTCTCCGGCTGCTGCAAGAGCGGCGGCGGCACCCCAGCCAAGGGCTTGCCCCCCAGGGAGGTAGCGGTCAAAGCCGACCCAGCCACGGGGCCCGAGGACTGGGCGATCGACGGGGACCTGGACTCTGGCATCTTGGAGGACAACGACATGATTGACGACGTCCGGTTAGAGGGCAGCGAGGGGCTGGACGTCTCCACCGCCAAGACCAACCGTTGCTTCAGCTTCGCCTACTCTCCCGAGGAGGAGGAGGATGGGGAGGCCCCTTCCCTAGGCAGCCTGAAGGGCTCCCCCTTCTCCGAGGAGATGCCCCTGCCCCCGCCCACCATAGCCCTGGACGACTCCCTGGCCTACGACTCCGTCAAGTACACCCTCGTCGTGGACGAAAACACCCAGCTGGAGCTGGTCAGCCTCAAGCGTTGCACGTCGGTGCTGAGCGACGACAGCGAGCTGCTGAGGGCCTGTGACGCCGCCGACCTGGAGGACGCGGGCAGTGACTTTGGGGAGGGGCTGGTGGCTCCAGACGGGCGCAGCTCTTCATCGGAGGACTCCTCGCCCGAGGCTGACCTCCACTTCTCAAAGAAGTTCCTCAACGTCTTTGTCAACAGTACCTCCCGTTCCTCCAGTGAGTGCCACCCCCTCTGTGGCTGGAGGGGGCAGGGTGGTTGGTGTGGGAGGGAGGGAGGGCACTTCCTGTGACCAGCACACGACTGCCTGTTGCCACCCCAGTCACCTGGATGCAAGATCCAGGGGCCGTTCTGCTTTGGTCTCCTGGCTCCCAAGCAACAGGGACCCCCTCAGGGCCTCAGCTGCTGCTGCCCCATTGTGGCCACAGATGGTCTGGATTGGCTGTCTTCCTGCTGAGAGGCAGGCCTCTGCAATTGGCTTCCTATCCTTGGAAGAAGAAGCCCTCTGTCCTAACAGTGTGATTGGTACAGATGCCACACCCTGCCTTTGATTGGTAGAGTTGCCCCATCCCATCCCTGATTGGTACAGATGCCACACCCCATGCCTGATTGGTACAAGATGCCACACCCTGCCCTTGATTGGTAGAGGTGCTGCACCGCATCCCTGATTGGTACAGATGCCACACCCTGCCCTTGATTGGTAGAGTTGCCCCATCCCATCCCTGATTGGTACAGATGCCACACCCCATGCCTGATTGGTACAAGATGCCACACCCTGCCCTTGATTGGTAGAGGTGCTGCACCGCATCCCTGATTGGTACAGATGCCACACCCCATCCCTGATTGGTACAAGATGCCACACCCCATCCCTGATTGGTACAAGATGCCACACCCCATCCCTGATTGGTACAGATGTGAAACCCCTTACCCGATTGGTGCAGCAGGCGCCCCCATTCCTGACCAGTGCAGCCCCCCCCATCCCTGATTGGTTAGCCCCTTGCTTTGGGTAATTGTCTGCAGCCTGCTGTGATCCTTTCTCTGCCCCCTCAACCAGGTACAGAGTCCTTTGGCCTCTTTTCTTGCATGGTGAACGGGGAGGAGCGGGAACAGACCCACCGAGCCGTCTTCAGGTGAGAAGGGAGAGGGGAGAGGCCTGAGGGTTCCCCAGCTCTCTGCTTTGAGGCTCCTTCAGGCCAGGAGATCAGCCCTGCAGGGCTGTCTTGGGGAGGGGGGCTCCCACACTCCCCGGCAAAGCAGAAGAGCATTTGAGAAACCCCCTTGAGAAGAGGGAACCCGGCCCCACTTACGCTGTTTGCCATGGACACGCCTGTCAAGGCTTAACCGTGGCTCCAGAAGAGGCTTTTCAACTCCGTGGATCTCAGCAGCACTCTAATATGACAGAGGGTGCTGCCAGGACACAGGGTCCCGAGTCAATTAAAAACACCAGCCCCTGCTCAAAGGTAAACCACCACACCGCCTGCTGGTGTACAGACCAAGAGGGGTCCAGATTCAGGAATCCAGGGAATGAGGCCATCCCCTGCTAGAAATTTAAGAACCTCGGAAGTGCCTGGATCAGGCCAAAGGGGGCCCATCTTGTCCAGCATCTTGTTCTCACAGCAGATGCCCCTTTTGCAGGATCCGAGCACAAGAGCCCTCTTTCCTATTGTGGTCTGTAGCGACTGATAGATTATTCCCCATCCATGAATTTGCCCAGTCCTCTTTTAAAGCCGTCTAAGTTGGTGGCCATCGCTGCTTCCTGTGGCAGGGAGTTCCACTGCCTAAAAAAAGGGAGGGGGAAAATACTTTTACGTCAGTAGGCTCAGTGACCCAAGGAATCTAAAGCAGTGGGCTTGGAACCAGAGTAATTTCCCAGTAGCTCACGCCAACTCTTGCAGTAGCAAGAGTTATCTAAGGATTGCAGCAATAATTATCATGTAAATCCCAGGATCCCAAACTTTTTGGAGCCTCCTGTTCCATAATCACAGAGTTCCATAATCCCAGCACCCCACTGCCTTTTGGAAAGCAGCGCGAACACACACAAGAACTAATAAAGAACTGAGCTGGAAAGAGGACAGAGAGAAGTTTTTCTCCATCTCTCATAAGGCTAGAACCTGTGGACACGTGGTGAAGCTGAATGCTGGAAGACCACAGAGTTAATATATGGAACTCCCTGCCACAGGAGGCAGGGGTGGCTACCCACCTAGATGGCTTTAAAAGAGGGTTAGATAAATTCATGGAGGAGGAGAGGGGTATTTGGGGCACTCCTGCTTGGATCCTGCTCCCAGTAGGTTTCCAAGCACAACTCAAAGTGTTGGTGCTGACCTTGAAAGCCCTAAATGGCCTTGGCCCAGTATACCTGAAGGAGCGTCTCCACCCCCATTGTTCAGGCCAGACACTGAGGTCCTGCTCCGAGGGCCTTCTGGCGGTTCCCTCCCTGCGAGAAGCAAAGTTACAGGGAACCAGGCAGAGGGCCTTCTTGGTGGTGGCGCCCGTCCTGTCGAATGCCCTCTGTCAGATGTCAAGGACTGAAACAACTATCCGACTTTTAGAAGACATCTGAAGGCAGCCCTGTTTAGGGAAGCTTTTAATGTTTGAAGTTTTAGTGTGTTTTTAATCTTTGGTTGGAAGCCGCCCAGAGTGGCTGGGGAAACCCAGCCAGATGGGGGGGGGGGTTAGAAATATTATTATTATTATTATTATTATTATTATGGCAGGCCTAAAGTCCTACAGGGAAGGGAAGCAGCGTGTTGGCTGTGGGCCCCCAAAGTCTCCCCCAAACTTAGTGCTTCTGAGATAACATCAAGAAGCTGCTTTCTACTGAGTCAGACCCATTGGCTCATCTGGCTCAGTCTAGCCTACACTGGTTGGCAGCCACAGCTCTCTCAGCCCCACTTGGGAGCCTTCTGCTGCTGAGCTGCTGTCATGGCCTTTCCCCAACTGGCCCCTTCTCCTGCCTCCAGGTTCATCCCTCGCCACGAGGACGAGCTGGAGCTGGATGTGGACGACCCCATTCTGGTGGAGCTGGAGGAGGACGACTACTGGTACCGGGGCTACAACATGCGCACGGGGGAGAGGGGCATCTTCCCGGCCTTCTATGCCCACGAGGTGGTGAGCCAGGCCAAGGAAGTGACAGGTGAGCCGGGGTGCGTGTGCCGGTGGCGCTGCTGGGAGGTGGCAGCAGAGGGTGGCAGATGAAGCTTCCTGGCTGCCCAATGTCAGAGGCTGGCTGCACAAAGGCCAGAAGAGGGAGGAGGAGGAAATGGGTCGAGGGAAGTATGGTATAGTGTGGTGTAGAGGTTAAGAGCGGTAGACTCGTAATCTGGTGAACCGGGTTCGCTTCTCCGCTCCTCCACATGCAGCTGCTGGGTGAATGACTAAGGTGGGCCCATCTTTCTCATAGCTGCTGCTGGGTCTCTGGAGTGGGGTCTTCTCCAGACCTGTGTTCTTTTGGGACGTGGGTGGTGCTGTGGTCTAAACCCATGAGCCTTTTGTGAGAGCCAGTGTGGTGTAGTGGTTAAGAGCGGTAGACTCGTAATCTGGTGAACCGGATTCGCTTCCCCGCTCCTCCACATGCAGCTGCTGGGTGACCTTGGGCCAGTCACACTCCTCTGAAGTCTCTCAGCCTCACTCACCTCACAGAGTGTTTGTTGTTGGGGAGGAAGGGAAAGGCTTTGGGGTGTTTCGTGATGGGCGCTGTAAGAATTTGGGCCAACTGAGCTCAGCAGAGAAACCCATTTACTGGATCCCATTTGGGGAAAGTTCTTCCAAACTCTACTGTGAGAGAATAGAATAGAAAAAGGTGGTTTGGGGTGGAGACTGGGGGTATATGGGTGTCTCTGGCATGCCACCCAGCCTAGTTCCCTTGGGACGGGGGAGCCAGCCAGCCCTTTTCTGCAAGAGTGGGAGAGGCGAGGAGAGGGGAACTGCACCTTGACTCTCTGCTGGGTTCCTTGCAGGCCTGAAGCGGAACCCGTGCTGGGTGGAGCGCTTCAACGTCCAGTTCTTGGGCTCCGTGGAAGTTCCTTACCATCAGGGCAATGGCATCTTGTGTGCCGCTATGCAGAAGGTGAGGCCGGGAAGAGGGGCTGTGTGCCTGTGTCTGTCTGTCTGTCTGTCCTTGCAATGCTGTCTTGGGGCTGCTGCCAGGACAGAGAATCCAACCTGTTATGTGTGGGAATGTTGAGGGTGGCAGGAGAGGATATATTGTTTATTAATATCCTTCCTAACTTGCGCTAGCAAGTTCCTTCACTTAGCAGAGTTACATTTCCCTTTTTACATGCACAGCAGATAGCTGGTTGCAGGCTCGTGTGAGCCTCTCACTGTTATACAATTCAGTCTGTCTCAGATTAAATTATACGTTTCTGGTAAATTCCCTTGAATCCCTCTTAAAAGAATAAAGACGCCACAATCTTATTCAAAGTCAATAAAAGAAGTTTACTCACATCAGTTCACAGTTGGATCCCTGAAGGCAGACTTAGTTACAAATATGTACATGTGGATCTACCCCATATGGGGGAATAATCCCAGTGCTTCTGCTAGCTGAGAGCTAGCAGAGCGGTTCTAGCTAAAAGCTGCTTAAATGAAGAAGGAAGTCAAAAAAGAGAGGGACGTGTGCTGCGTGACTTGTCCTTTTGTTACCTGGAGAGGTTAGGTCACGCCCACCTTCTATCACATGCAAAAGGAAGGATGCTCCAGCCAGGATGAACAGGAAGTTTCGACTGGCTGGACCAAACATCCCCTCGCATGTCTTCTCTAGCATTTCAAGGAATGCTGTACTTGACTGCTCTCAGTGGATTACCGTATTTTTCGCTCTATAAGAAGCACTTTTCCCCCTCCAAAAATTAAGGGGAAATGTGTGTGCATCTTATGGAGCAAATGCAGGCTCCATGGCTTCAGGGAAAGCAACGCGAAGCCTCCGGAGCGCAGTGCTCCTGCTGCGCTCTGGAGGCTTCACGTTGCTTTCGCTGAAGCCAGGAGAGCAAGAGGGGTTGGTGCGCACCGATCCCTCTTGCTCTCCTGGCTTCGCTTCACTGGAGAGGCGCTGCACAGCGGGAGGAGAAATGGAAGGGGCTCCATTTCTCCTGCTGCTTCGCTGAAGGGGCCCTGCGCAGAGAGGGAGATTTTTTTTTCTTGTTCTCCCCCTCTAAAACTAGGTGCGCCTTATGGTCGGGTGCGTCCTATAGAGCGAAAAATACAGTACATCCCACACTACGTCTGCCTGGTGCGATGTCCCCTTGTCCTTTCCCCTTGGGATACACCGTCTAAACTCGGCGGACCCCTTCCCGTCTGAACCCGCACCCCTGCATGTGCACCCACCCTCTGTCCTTTGCAGATTGCTACCACCCGCAAGCTCACAGTACACCTGAGACCCCCAGCCACCTGTGACCTGGAAATCAGCCTGCAGGGCATCAAACTTATCCTGACCGTGAATGAGTACAGCCGGGACGAGGAGGTGAGTGGCGGCAGCAGGAGGCGGCGGCACTGGGGTGGGCCTGTGCAGCTGAGAAGGTCTTTGGGGTCCACGTCCCCCAAGACTTTGGCGAGGTGCCCAGCCGAGCAGGAGGCAGGATGTGTTCCGGGCACTTGCGTAAGCATGGACTTGCATGCCCGTGGTCTCACTTGGCAGAGTCTGCTTCTGCTGGAAGAGCCCCCTGCCCAGAGGGAGAACTTGGGCAAGGAGGGGGCAGGTGCAGCCGTCGGGGGCCTGATGGGGAAGTGGATTTATAGGGGAAGGGGAGTCTGCTCCTGCCCCATTTTCCGCTGGCTCAGTCCTACAAAGGAGGAGGAGTGGCATGATTGACCCACATTGCAGGGAACAGGTTTTGAGCACCCAATTTGAGACCCAGGTGGCTCCCCTCAGCCACATGCGGGCATCTGCTCTCGTCATCCCTGTAAAGGCATCATTTCTTTACAGGTATACCACCTTGTGATGATTTATTGCCTTCATCTCTTGGCATAAATCACTTCCGGCAGAGTTAGTTGCCGGTGGCAGTTGCTCTAAGACAGCGGTTCTCAACCTGCGGGTCCCCAGATGTTGTTGGACTACAACTCCCATCATCCCTGAGCTCTGGCTTTGCTAGCTTGGGTTGATGGGAGTTGTAGTTCAACAACATCTGGGGACCCACAGGTTGAGAAAGGCTGCTCTGAAAGATAACTCTCAAGACACAGGAGCAGACCAGGCCATTAGCTCTTTATGGACGGTATGAAGCGTTCACGGTTGCAATATACGCAGAATAGTCCATTTAACCTACCTACTGGTCCCAGCAGCAAGGCATCTCATACAAAATGCAGCCGCCTTCGGCATTCATCCATAGCTGCAAGCGGTTGTAGCAGCAGGTTCATCGGTTGGCAGGCAAGGAGAGAGACTTAACACACACTCTCACTGACTCTTTCTGCTGCCAAAAGAGAAACGAAAAGACCAGCCTTTTTAAGGCTACAAGTTCCTGACACTGTGCGAAAGAATCCAATTAACTCCTGAACCTTATCTCGCTCCTGTTTAAGCAATTAGGCTTCTTGGGTCAGTTTCTGGAACATGCTCCACTTCCAATTAACAGAAACTCACTCAGACAGTTTTCTGCAAAACAGCCTTCATCCAAAGATCACAGGGTGGTTCACAACATGCTGTGATTGGACTTGTTCTATGATTCTAGACTGGGGGGTCTAGGAGGGTCAGGAGACACAGGAGTTCCCAGTGGTACCCCTGCTGAAGATTTCGGGAGCCCCTTGGCCTTGAAAGGATTGGGGGGGTTTCTTCCTGGGGTGTCCTTTAAGCCCTCCCTCTTCTCGTTCCAGTTTGAGCGCTGCAGCCATTTCTTCCAGATGAAGAACATCTCCTTCTGCGGCTGCCATCCCCGCAACAGCTGGTAAGTTGCACCCCCCTCTCCTAGGGGAAAAGCCTGGCTCCGGGGGCAGGAGGGCTGCTTGCCCTCAGGACGTGAGGTTTCCTTGCTGCAGCACCTCAGGCAGGAATCCCCTCCTTGGCCGTAAAAATACAGCAATGGCAGAGGAAAAGAACTAGCCCGTTGGCTGCTCTTTCCTGACACCCCAAACCACTGCCGGGGGGCTCTTCTTACGTTAAAATTTTAGGGCTACCTTTAAAACTGTGGTGCATGCGAGATGGTCAGCTGAGGGTGGGCCTTGCAAGCTGTCTGGCTGGAGAGGTCCTACCAGTTCCTGCATTGATGACCTTTCGGGACCCTTTCATGGTTCCCACTTTTGGTGCTGACCCTTCCCTTCCCTTCCAGCTACTTTGGCTTCATCACAAAACACCCCGTGCTGAGCCGCTTTGCCTGCCACGTCTTCGTATCCCAGGAGTCCATGCGGCACGTTGCGGAGTGCGTTGGGTGAGTGGAGGGGGTCGCAGAGCGGGTTGGGGATGAGCCCCTGCGGACGTCTTGGGCTGTGGTCTGATGGGAGCTGTCCAAGGTATTGAGAGCACCCTTGAAGCTGACCCAGAAACTCCAGCGGGTGGAGAAGGCCGCAGCGAGACTCCTTATGGGGTCCTTGCTGCGGGATCACATTCATCCAGTGCTTTACCAACTGCACTGGCTCCTGGTGGAGCACAGGGTCAGGTTTAAGGTGCTGATTTTGACCTTTAAAGCCCTATGTGGCCTAGGACCCATGTACCTACAGGACCGCCTCTCCTGGTATGCCCCATGGAGGACCTTAAGGTCCACAAATGACAACATTTTGGAGGTCCCAAGTTGCAAGGTGGTTAGATTGGTCTCAACTAGGGGCAGGGCCTTTTCAGTACTGGCCCTGACTTGGTGGAACGCTCTGTCACAAGAGACTAGGGCTCTGCAGGACTTGACATCTTTTTGCAGGGCCTGTAAGACAGAGCTGTTCCGCCTGGCCTTTGGTTCGGACTCAGTCTGACCCTTATGTTTCTCTCCCCTTATGGTTTTGATTTATGGGCTACTTTTAAAATGAGGCTGCATTTTTAATTGCATTTTAAGCTGTATTTTAAATTGGTCCCCCCCCCTCCATTATGTTTTTTACTGTAATTTTACTGATGTTAGCAGCCCTGAGCCCAGCTCTGGCCGGGGAGGGTGGGGTATAAATAAAATTATTTATGATGATGATGCTGGGATCCTGCATACTGTTTCCCATTGGGGCACCTAGTTGGCCTCTCTGAGAACAGGATGCTGGCCTAGTTGGGCCACTGGCCTGATCCAGGAGAATCTTACTACGTTCTTTGCTCCCACGAGTGCTGACTGGTTCTTCCTTCCTTCCCCTTCCAGCCGCGCCTTTCAGGAATACTACCAAGAGCACCTGGAGTTTGCTTGCCCCACAGAAGACATTTACCTGGAGTAGGACCTGAGCCCGGAGTGCCTCCAGCTTCTGCACCCCCTCCAGAGACTCTGACCCAGTGCCCCAGGACCCTCGACTCCGCCAGCCTCGACACCACCCATGCCACCATTTTTCAACCCTGCACCCTGCTGCAGCAGAGGGGAGGTGGGGCGGGGCAGGCGAGGGGGCAGAGAGATGGGGAGGGCGGCAGGCGCTGGCTGTGTGCAGTTGCCCCCTGCCCTCCCCCTCTCCTGGAGCCCCTCTCCCAAAACACCCGGGAGCAGATCCCTGGGGAGGGAGCCTTCCTCCTTGAAGCAGGTTGAGACCAGCGATGGGGCTGAAGGATGAATTTGGGAGAGGCGAAGCCAGGAGTCAGCGCTTTCCAGGAAAGCTCCAGCCTTTGCATGGCGCCACCCTTCTCAGGGGCTGGGAGGAAGGCTTGGGGCACAATGGCAGCAGCCATCACTCTGCCCCCACGCCCACCCCGGTCCTCTAGAAACACACTCTGGGGCTGCGGGGAGCTCCCATACCTCACCTGCTTCCAGGCTAAATTCCTTTCATCTGTGTGAGAGTTGTGTGTGGGGAGAGGGAACAAGGAACCCCCCTCCCTGCCCCCCCCACAGCGTACGCCCATCCCTGGGCCAGGGCACTCTGCTCTCCCTTCCCTGCTTCTCGGCCCCCATTGCCTCAGCTCCACACTTGCCATGGGGGCTGCCCCGTTGCCATCCCCTGGGGGGGGCAGTGCATGTAACTCCAGCTCATGCAATGCCATAGGAAACTACACCGCCCCCACCCCACCCTTTCCCCAAAATCTGCATCCCTCGCTGCTATCACTCACCCTGCCACTCACCCACACTGCTGGGTTGCGGGAAGCGGAACAGCCTGCATGCTGCTTGGGGGGCGGGGTGCTGGGAGCTGAAAGGGCCCTCCCAGATAGGGCCTTTGGGGTGTGTGTGAGCGATGAGCATGTGTGGTGCCGGGCTCAGCTGGTAGGCTGCCCACCTCGCAAGCAGAAGGTCCCAGGTTCCATTCCCGATAGCATCTCCACGCAGAGACTCCTTGCCCAAATTCCTGCAGAGCCACTCGATGGACCAGTGGTCTCAAAATGTGCCAGCTTCCTATGGCTTGTCCTGCCTGCGGAGGCGTTGGAGTCAAGGTGCCGACCATTCATAATCTGGCGAATTCCCCCGGAGGATGGGGTCAGGGGGCGGCTGATCTGGATCCACGGCCCACGGCCAGCTTGGGTCTCGCCCCGCAGTCCCGTGTCCTTCCCCAGCGCTGCCATCTTCCCGTTCTTCCTCTGTCACTGAATCAGAGCATATCTGGGGGGTTGCTTGTCCGGCTCAGGCGCCCTCTTCTCTTTCTTGGCCTTCTCTCCCCCCCCCCCGCCCCCCACCCGCCCCGGCTCTCCTTGCCGCCTCCTGCCTCGCCCCCCACTGCTGTGCCTGGTGACCTCCTTTGCTTGCCAGCCCCGCCTGTTTATACTCAGTGCTAGCTGACTGACGTAGCGCTCACTGCTGTCCGTGTATGTAACGACGATATTTATCCGTAACCTTAACCGAGCAGCGAAGTGACCTGTACAAACCCCGGTTCAAAGGCCCTTCCTTCTCACTGCCTTGTCATGGAGTTGGTCTTTCAATAAAATATACGCTTGGTGTCACCACAGGTCGTGCCTGGTCTGCTCTGTCTTATTGTTGGTTTTTTTAATATATTTATTTATTGTTATGCATCACCCTGATCTCTGGGTGGTGAGAGAATCCAGGAGTTCACGGCACTTACACCCAGGGTTTGTTTTCCTTGGAACAAAGGTGTGTTTCAGACTGTGAAGTCTTTAGGTTGTATGGTTTTATTTCCGCATATATACAACCTGAGGGGAGTGGAGTCCCGAATTTGGCACCTTGTACGCCCCCTTCTGGCACGTCCTGCAGCCAAGCTGGTGCCATTGCTCTGTTTTCTTTCGACCACATCAGCGAGCCCAAAAGGGTGGGGGTCTTGTCATCTGGGCAGCCCAGGGCCTTCAGACACACTGCCCAGCTCTCAGGCTTTGGGCAATCGTCTTCCTCCCCCATGGCAGTAATTAAGAGGATCAAACGAAAGCAACATCTTACCAGTTAGATTCTTTAATAATCACAGTGAGAGACAAAAGACCGTGTGTCCCTAGAAATGGCGGTGCTCCCAATTAAGGTCTACACCCCCTCCATCCCTATTAATCTATGTCACTCCTACGTCTTGTAACCTGAGCTTGTACCCTCTGCACTTTCTGTTCTGAGACTTTCTGAGCCCTTCTCGACCTTGGGGAGGGCGGTGGAGGAATGCTGTCCAATGACTGTGAATCTGTTAACCCTGTCTCTTCCAGTGTTTCTTCTCCTAGCTGTTCCCCAGCCAGTATTTCCCAGCTTCTGCCTTCCAAACTATGCCCCTCTGCAAACCACTGTCCCAAATCTATGCGGTCCTCCTGCTCCTGGGAAGATTCAGGATCGGGGGAATGGGTGGCTCCCACCATCCCTGCTCAGTGCAGTCCTCCTCAGACACCAGCCTTGAGTCCTAGGAAGGTCACTTCAGTGCTGTTAAGACAGCAGAACCAAAGCAGGAGGAAGCAGTTATAAGTTACCAGTGCCTGCAGCCATAGTGCATGCTGCCCCTCATTGTCTCTCAAAACAGATGGGTGCCAATAGCAGCAGCAGCAACGATAACAACAACCTGAGCATAGGAGGGAGCAAGAGAACGGATCACTCCAGGAAAGAGGGATATTATTTATTATTTATTATTTATTATTATTTATATCCCGCCCATCTGGCTGGGCTTCCCCAGCCACTCTGGGTGGCTTCCAACCAAATATTAAAATACAGTAATACATCAAACATTAAAAGCTTCCCTAAACAGGGCTGCCTTCAGATGCCTTCTAAAAGTCTGGTAGTTCTTCTCTTTGACATCTGCCGGGAGGGCGTTCCACAGGGAGGGTGCCACCACCGAGAAGGCCCTCTGCCTGGTTCCCTGTAACTTGGCTTCTCGCAGTGAGGGAGCCGCCAGAAGGATCTCAGTGTCTGGGTAGAAAGATGGGGGTGGAGACGCTCCTTTCAGGTATACTGGGACTCCTCAGGGTCAACCCTGATGCTGAAGGATGACATTGGGGAAGTGCAAGTTTTTCCTCCCTCATGGCACTAGAACTCTTGGGTGTCCTGCCACAGCTAAAAATTGGCCGCTGTTTCTTTAATGCTAAAATAACTAAGCATGAGTCAGCGGCCTACAATGCCTACAATTTGTACCTGCATATATAGAGTGGTCAATGTTAGTGTTTGGTGTGGGTTGGTGGGATGGTAGAAAGCTGGTTGCATTTGGTGTGTATAAAAAGCTGTCGATCGTGGTTGGAGAAGAAGACATTGTAAGAATAAAAGCAGCAATAACTCTGCAAGAATATTCTTTCTCAAAGACTCTCTTGTGCCAACTAAGGTCTGAGGACTAGGCAAAGGAGTAAAAAGGAGGTCAGAACCTTTTCTTTTTCAAACACTGACATGTCCAATGAAGATTCAGGACACATTTTTAGGAAGTTCTTCTTTATGCACTGCCTACTTAAACTATGTGGGACGCGGGTGGCGCTGTGGGTTAAACCACAGAGCCTAGGACTTGCCGATAAGGGGTGAGCTCCCATTGCTCGGTCCCAGCTCCTGCCAACCTAGCAGTTCGAAAGCATGTCAAAGTGCAAGTAGATAAATAGGTACCACTCCGGCGGGAAGGTAAACGGCGTTTCCATGCGCTGCTCTGGTTTCGCCAGAAGCAGTTTAGTCATGCTGGCCACATGACCCGGAAGCTGTATGCCGGCTCCCTCGGCCAGTAAAGCGAGATGAGCGCCGCAACCCCAGAGTCGGCCACAACTGGACCTAATGGTCAGGGGTCCCTTTACCTTTACTTAAACTATGGAACTCTCTCAAACCCGAGACAGTGATGGCCACCAGCCTAGAAGACTTTAAAAAAGGGTGAGAGGAAATCCTGGAGGAGGAGAGGGCTATCCATGGCTTCTAGCCACAATGGCTCTGCTCTGTCTCCACAGTCAAAGGCAGCAATCCTTCTGGAAAACCACAGAAAGTAGAGGGTCTTGTGTTCAGATCCTGCTTGTGGGTTCTACATAACGAGCATCTGGCTGGATCCTAGACCAGCTGGGGGTCAGATCCAGCAGCCTCTTCTTATGTCATCATCATCATCATCATCACCTGGCTTGAGAGCAGTACATGTGAAAAGGATCTAGAAGTCTTGGCTGACCACAAACTTGACATGAGCCAACAGTGTGACGCGGCAGCTAAAAAAGCCAATGCAATTCTGGACCGCATCAATAGGAGTATAGCATCTAGATCAAGGGAAGTAATAGTGCCACTGTATTCTGCTCTGGTCAGACCTCACCTGGAGTACTGTGTCCAGTTCTGGGCACCACAGTTCAAGAAGGACATTGACAAACTGGAACGTGTCCAGAGGAGGGCAACCAAAATGGTCAAAGGCCTGGAAACGATGCCTTATGAGGAACGGCTAAGGGAGCTGGGCATGTTTAGCCTGGAGAAGAGGAGGTTAAGGGGTGATATGATAGCCATGTTCAAAGATAGAAAAGGATGTCACATAGAGGAGGGAGAAAGGTTGTTTTCTGCTGCTCCAGAGAAGCGGACACAGAGCAATGGATCCAAACTACAAGAAAGAAGATTCCACCTAAACATTAGGAAGAACTTCCTGACAGTAAGAGCTGTTCGACAGTGGAATTTGCTGCCAAGGAGTGTGGTGGAGTCTCCTTCTTTGGAGGTCTTTAAGCAGAGGCTTGACAACCATATGTCAGGAGTGCTCTGATGGTGTTTCCTGCTTGGCAGGGGGTTGGACTCGATTGCCCTTGTGGTCTCTTCCAACTCTATGATTCTACGATCATCATCATATATTTATACCCCGCCCATCTGGCTGGGTTTCCCCAGCCACTCTGGGCGGCTTTCAACAGAATATTAAAATACAGTAGTCTATTAAACATTAAAAGCTTCCCTAAACAGGGCTGCCTTCAGATGTCTTCTAAAAGTCAGATAGTTGTTTCTTTCCTTGACATCGGGAGGCTGTTCCTCAGGGCGGGCACCACCACCGAGAAGGCCCTCTGTCTGGTTCCCTGTAACCTTACTTCTTGTACTAAGGGAATCGCCAGAAGGCCCTCAGAGCTGGACCTCAGCCTCTGGGCAGAATGATGGGGTGGAGATGCTGTTCAGGGGTACTCTCATTTTGACTCAAGAAAATTACCATTTTATAGTTCAAATCAGGGGAAATAAATACAGTAAATGTTTTGGGGTATATGTACCCCTGTGTACCCCCAGAAAAAAGCGCTGGTTTATAACTTGAATCTAGCAAGGCTCCTGCCCCAGGCCACCTCTGTACAGCCCTTCCTCTAGATATTTTGAATTTATAGCACCCATCAGTGGCCACATCATATGGCCATGCTGCCCGTGGCTGATGGAACGTGGTTTGAAACAGAAAGCCCCAGCTTGGGGAAGGCGCCCTTCCCTGAAAACCCTTCTGCTAATATGTCCAGCCCTGCTTTGCTCTCGATTGTGACAGCACTCTGTGTGTGTCTGCAAGCTGCTGGTCCATATTGACGAGAGAGGTCACAATGATCTTTTTAGGTCCAAAAGGCAACTGCAGTGCTAAACTACTCACTCCTGGGAGTACCTGTTGCTACTGCTGAGTAAGGAACAGGAATCACATCTGGAAAACCTGCACAACAGACTCTGAGTCTTCTGTTTGCAGCTGGGAGGTCATGTCTGAACCAATCCTGGCTCGTGCAGAGTTTGTCACTGGAGAGAAAGGAAGATTCATCTCAGAGCCTCTTGCATTAGACTTATTCCTTGCATTTCCATGAGGGTTGCTGCCCAAGCCTTCAGACCACAAACCAGCCTAACAAAATAGCAGAAGAAGCAATCGTAGAAGGGAACCCAAAGGGTCATCTAGTCCAACCCCCCTGCAATGCAGAAATTACAGTTCATTAATTCCTGACGGGTGGCCATCCAACCTCTGCTTAAAATCGTCCCATGAAAGGGAGCCCAGCACCAGCCGAGGGAGTCCGGTCCACAGGCAAACAGCTCTTACCTCCCGGATGTTCCTCCTAATGTTTGGTCAGAATCTCCTTCTTTGTAATTTCCATCCATTGGTTCATATCCTACCCTCTGGAGCAGCAGAAAGCAAGGCTGCTGTGTCTTCCACAGGTCGGCCCTTCAGATATTTGAAGATGGCTATCACATCACCTCTCAGCCTCTTCTCTGGGCTAAACAGACCCATCTCTCTCAACCGTTCCTCATAAGGCAGCGGTTCTCAACCTGTGGGTCCCCAGATGTTGTTGGACTACAACTCCCATCATCCTTGAGCTCTGGCCTTGCTAGCTAGGGGTGATGGGAGTTGTAGTTCAACACCATCTGGGGACCCACAGGTTGAGAAAGGCTCTCATAAGGTGTTGACTCTGTATTGGATTTCTGTTTATAGTCTCCATTTGTGTGTGTTTCATGGCATGTACACCCCACCTCTCTCCCCAAGGAGCTCTAGGGGGCATGCATGATTCTGCTCCCATCCCAATTAACCCCCAAAACAACTCTGCTTTGAGGTAGGCCAAACTGGGAGGCAGTGGCTATCACCCAAGGTCACCCAGTGAGAGCTTTATG